GCCTCCCCTGGGGCACGAGCCCTGCGTGTTTTACGCATGCGCCTATGGATTTGCCTTCTTCTGGGCGACGAACCCGTCGTGCTTTACGTATGTGCCTATAATATATATATATATATATATATATATATATATATATACATATATATATATACACATATACACAAATATATACATATATATACACATGTTCGCCCTCTCCTGGAGCACGAACCCTTCGTGTCTTACGTGTGTGCATATATATTGGCCTTCCCCTGGGGCACGAATCCTTTTGTGCTTACCGTATGTGCCAATAGATCGGCCTTCTCTTGGAACACGAATCCTCTTAGTTGTTTTATGTAGGTGCTTATAGATTGACCCTCTCCTAGGACGCGAATATTTCGTGCTTCACGTGCGTGCTGATAGAGTGGCCGTATCATGGGAGACGAATCCTTAGCGTGATTGGCTCTCTCCTGGGGCACGATCCCTTTCCAGGGGCACGAATGTTTCGCGTTATACGTATCTGCTTATAGAGTTGCCCTCCCCTGGGGCACGAACCCTGCGAGGCGTCACGAGCTTCACCGGGCGCCAGGGGAATAGAGGCTTCAGGCCGAATAGAGGCTTCACGAGCTTCACCGGGCGTCGGGGGAATAGAGGCTTCAGGCCGAATAGAGGAGTCACGAGCTTCACCGGGCGCCGCCAGGGGGAACAGAGGCTTCAGGCCGAATAATGGCTTCACGAGCTTCTCCGGGCTTCAGGGGAATAGAGGCTCCATGCCGAATAGAGGCTTCACGAGCTTCAATGGGCGTCACGGGAATAGAGGCTTCAGGCCGACTAGAGGCTTCACCAGCTTCAATGGGCGCCAGGGGAATAGAGGCTTCGGGCCGGATAGAGGCCTCACGAGCTTCAATGGGCGCCAGGGGAGTAGAGGCTTCAGGCCGAATAGAGGCTTCACGAGCTTCAATGGGCGTCAGGGGAATAGAGGCTTCAGGCCGAATAGAGGCTTCACGAGCTTCAATGGGCGTCAGGGCAATAGAGGCTTCAGGCTGAATAGAGGCTTCACGAGCGTCACTGGGCGTCAGGGCAATATAGGCTTCAGGCCGAATAGAGGCTTCACGAGCTTCAATGGGCGTCAGCGGAATAGAGGCTTCAGGCCGAATAGGCGCGTCTAGGGTCGCCACCCCACCAGCGCGTCGCAATTCGTAGGCCGAATAGAGGCGTCACGAGCCGAATATAAGCTTCAGGCCGAATAGACGCTTCGGGCCGAATAGAGGCTTCACGAGCTTCAGTGGGCGTCAGGGGAATAGAGGCTTCAGGCTGAATAGAGGCTTCACGAGCTCCACCAGGCGCCAGCGGAATAGAGGCGTCACCGCAGCTCCTTGGGGGAAGAGCGTCTTCAAACAGCGTCTTCGGCGCCGGCTCGAACGGGGACCCCCCCGGACCAGGCCCCTGCACATATATGTATATATACATGTATATGTATACATATATACATACATACATACATACATGCATGCATGCATACAAACATACATACATACATACGTACATACATACATACATAGATGCATACATACATGTACACATACATACATACATACATACATACATACATACATGCATACAAACATACAAACATACATACATACATACATACATACATACATACATACATACATATATACATACATATATACATACATGCATACATACATACATGCATACATACATACATACATACATACATGCATACATACATGCATGCATGCATACATACATACATACATACATGCATACGTATATGCATAAACAGTTAGTACCGTAAATCTGTATATGGTTGTAATTATATGTATACACATATGTACATATGTATGTATAAATATGCATGTACGAAAGAATAAAAGGTAAAAAATAATTCGCCAAGCAACGCATACGCACATGCATGCATGCACGCATGCATACAGTCAATGAGACGTACGTCCTTACATACAGACAGGCAGACATACACATGATTTGTTGGGGCGTTGCACACGAAACTCGTCTTCAAAGGTCTGGGGAGTTGACATATCCACCTCCGGCGGAAGGCGGCGGCAGGTCGACGGTGGCCGGAGGAGGCAAAGCACGAGGGCGCCTCCGCGGGCGGCAGCCAGGGAAGACCGGCGGCGGAAGTAGAAGATGCGTCCCCAAGAGATGTCAACATGTTTGGATCCAGGGTTCCTGGAACGGTCCACCTGTGTGGGATCGCGGCATCCTCAGGATTTTATTGTCCACTTGGAATTTGAAAGAGGTGTTCACGGTAGTGCGTTTGATTGGTGGCGTGCGTTGTTGGAGTTCTGAGCGTTGCGTTGGAGGCAGGATTGGGGGTATAGGGTCGTGCGTTGGAGATGGAGGCTTGGAAGTATGATCCAGCGACGGAGACTGTGGAAGAGAAGGTGGCTCTAAGGCACATTTTAGGGAGGGTGGCTTGGACTACCAGGCGGTGTGCTGGAGACGGGATTGTGTAGGAGGCGGGTAGCGTGTTGGATACGAGGCTGTGGACTAGAGAGCGCCTGTCGGGCCACGCCTTGCATCCGAGCATACGGCATGGCACCCGAAGCTCTGACGAAGTGCAAGCGCCGACGCGAAGGAAAGGCTCGGCGCGCGGACGGGTCGGGCGGGCGACCCCCGACGGGCGGGCCGTGCGGGCGTGGGATCAAGAACGGGTCTTGAGCCAAGCGAGCGTGCGGGCATGGCAGGGCGGGGCGGCGGGCGGACACCCGAGCGGGCGAGTCGGACGGCCGGGCCTCGACGGGCGAGTCGGACAGGGGTGGGCTGGGCGGGCGGGCCCGTGACGGGCGGGTCGAGCGACGGGCCTTACAGTCGGGGCCCTGAAGAAGGAAGGAACCCTTTTCGTTGGGGAGGGGCTCGACAGGAAGTCGAGGGTTAACTTATGGAGAAAAGGGGCCTCGTTCCTTATTTAGGGTTCCTTGGGTCAACGCCCCGACTGTGCTGGAAGGGCCGGGCGGGCGAGGCAGCGAGGCGGGCGGAGGGGGTGTCGCGCAGGCGAGCGGGCGGTCGCGGTCGGGTGGGCAGGGCGCGGGGGCCCACGCGGCCAGGTGAGGCAATCCTCCTCCTCCTCCTCCTCCTCCTCCTCCTCCTCCTCCTCCTCCTCCTCCTCCTCCTCCTCCAGGCCAGGCGGACGAGCGGGCGGGTGGACCCACATGAGCGAGTCGAGCGGGCGACGCAAGCATTGGCATCCAAGAAGAAAGATCCGAGGCGGAGATGAAAACGGGGGCGCATGGTGGTGCAGAAGCCTGTATGCATGTGGGCATCAAGTGCGCCAGCAGAGCCCCAAGCAGTACGCTGTTGCACCCTGGGCGCGGGATACATGTGCAACCTACGTGGTGCACTGTTCTGAGTTGCAAGCGACGCAGTGCAATATATGTGGTGCAGGCTATGTCGTGCAACATGTGGTGCAGTCTAGCTGGTGCAATCTGTGTCATGCAACCTTCGTGGTGCAGTCTACAGCAGAGCGCCCACCAGGCGCCCACCAGGCGAAACCTCGGCAGACCCGGCCAGCGCACGGCGGCGCCCCCGAGGCGCCCACCAGGCGAAACCTCGGCAAACCCAGCCAGCGCACGGGGCACCTGCGAGGCACCCGCGCTCTGAAGACCGAAAAGCCGACAATGTTCGAACCACACGAAGGCCAAATGGGATCGACAAATCTCAGGAGGGGGAAAAACACACAGACACAACTAATCGTCGGGTCCCAGGAAAATATGGGAAAATATGGGAAGTTGGGGGGAAAACAAAAACCCAGAAAATATGGGAAGATATGGGGGATATTTTTGTTTGTGTGTATTTATTTGTGTGTCCTGGGGCCCCTTGAAAATTTGGGGCTGGCTCCCAGGGCCTCCCAGATGGCCCAGGGGTTCCCCCGCACGGTCCTGTTCGGACCCTCTCGGGATGTGTCGGAGGTGTGGTTCCGAAGCACGCTCCCGAGGCATCTGGCAAAGTCACGCGGCGCAGCCGTGTAACGCACGGGAATTCCGCGAGGGGGGGGCCTGGGATTTTACAGGGCACCTGCTAGATCCGGCAAGGAATGTGAGATGCTTGGGAGCAGCTCCACCTCGTGCCCCCGGGGCACGGTGGCAGGTTCGGCACGCTAGAGCACAGATCAGAGCGATTGGATTCCCGAGGTGTAAGACCATGTGTGTCGATCATGGTACCACTAGCTATTTTGATCACATACACGCGCATTTGAAATAGACTACACGTGTGGCCGAAGCGTTCGGACACATTGACGCACACACAGAGTCACGACACGGATTGGGCGCCATCACATGGTTTCACATGCTGCGAAGAAGGAATTGGTGGAGCAGACGGATGGCACCAGATGCGTACGAGTGGCGCCATAGTTGGTACCCCACGCATTTAATTTTCCGCACCAGGTTGTCCGACCAACATTCCAGCTGCAGTCCTTGCCTGTCTGACGAGTAGTCATACACCCAGTTCGATTGATTCATCCTTCTCGCAAAGATCGAGTTGACCCGGCAATAGTTGCAGTCTGTGTCTAAATACAGCTATATCTACATACATATGAATTTAAAGTGGAATGACGAAACAAACAAAAGAAGAAAATAAAACAAAAAAAAAAAAAAAAAAAAAAAACGCCAGGCCGAGCGCACATGCGGCCTTGCTCACACGCTGGTGATCAGGTGCATAATGGCCTCGCGGTTCGCGAACAAGTTGCCCCAGAGACCAGACGGGGCAAGTAAGTTGATGGTCGATGCCAGCATGAGCTATCTGCATCAACCGTCGTGGAATCAAAGGCACTATGTGAGAGATTAAACCTCAACATACTTTTCGCTATTCCTTTGAAATTCCTCTTCCATCTCGTCCGTCTTCTCGTGCGCGTCCTCGACCTCATCTTGCTCCTGCTTTGCATTATCATGCCCTTGACGGTCATCATTGTCTTCCTCTTTCTCCCCCTCCTCGTTGTCTTCCTCTCTCCTGTATCCCCCCTCCTTTGTCCTCGTCCAGAGGATCACCCGGGGCCGGCTCTACAACATGGTCTTGCCATCTTTCCTGATGACAATTCTGTCTTATTGCGGGTATTGGATCAACCCGTCTGCTGCGCCAGGCCGCGTCACTCTGGCCATGATCGCCGTGTTGGCCACCATTGCACACCGCGGGAGTCAACGGGGGGAGGAGGAGGAGGAGGAGGAGGAGGAGGAGGAGGAGGAGGAGGAGGAGGAGGAGGAGGAGGAGGAGGAGGAGGAGGAGGAGGAGGAGGAGGAGGAGGAGGAGGAGGAGGAGGAGAGGAAGGAGGAGGAGGAGGAGGAGGAGGAGGAGGAGGAGGAGGAGGAGGAGGAGGAGAGGAGGAGGAGGAGGAGGAGAGGGAGGAGGGAGGAGGAAGGAAGGGAGGGGAGTTGTATGAGGAGCGTGCTGTCGCTCCTCCCTACGGTGTCTTACATGGTTTGGATCGATGCCTACATCACCATGAACCTCAGCTTCAATGTCATCGCAGTAATCAGCTACGCCGCAGTCAATACAGCTGCTTGCGGCGCACCCCGTCACTGCACGAGCGCAACATCGGAATGCATGCGCGAGTGCACCGAGCTTTGCTGCAGCGGCTCCGTAACGCCATCCTGGGGCCGTCTGGGAAGCAGCATTGCGATGTCGTACCATGGCGCGGGCGTCACAATAGTTGCATGGCTGCTACGTTGCGTCGTTAGGGGTTTCTTGAGAATATATCTGTGTTTATGCTGAGCTTCTTGGACAGCCTGCCGAAGATATGTTGGTGCCGTGTGGGGATCGGGATGGTCCCACCGAGCCTTCCCGAAGAGGCTCGGCAGAGCCAGCGTTTGGAGGCGCCTGCACGGGCCTCGGGGCATCCCGCCCGCTGTTTGGGCGCAGTCTTGGGGGCACCTGGGGGTAGTAGATTTAAGTCGGGCGTGTCCCCCTACAGGAGGAATAGTCAAAACCAGTCCAATCAAAAACAGTCCAACAATATTTCGGGTACGATTTTTTGACTGTTTTGATTAGATGTGATTGATGCTTGGGGTGCTGCTCATGCTTCGTCCAGAAGCCGCCCGCAGGAGGGCATGCCCGACTCAAGGGCAGACTGCGCGCTCCTTTTTGGTCCAGCCTGGGTCCGCCTCGGGGGGCCGCTGAGGCATGCCTGGTGCCAGCTTGCGCAGGAACAAAGCCTGGCGAGCCAACGCCCCAAGGCATCTCCTCCCCCTCCTCCTCCTCCTCCTCCTCCTCCTCCTCCTCCTCCTCCTCCTCCTCCTCCTCCTCCTCCTCCTCCTCCTCCTCTCTCCTCCTCCTCTCTCCTCCTCCTCCTCCTCCTTCCTCCCTCTCCTCCTCTCCTCCCTCCTCCTCCTCCCTCCTCCTCCTCCTTCTCCTCCTCCTCCTCCTCCTCATCCTGAGCGTTTTTTGGTTGCGTTCGGCATCCCAGTGCCTCCTGGGGATCCCTTTTGGGGGTGCTGCTTGGGGCCCTCGCTTGGCATCGTTCGGGGCGTGTGCCCTTTTTTTCTTCTCGGCGAGGACCATCCAGGACCATCCAGGACCATCGAACAAAAAAAAAACAAAAACAAAAAAAAAACTTATATATATATATATATATAAAAAAAAAAAAAAAAAAAAAAAAAAAAAAAAAAAAAAAAAAACCCCAAAAAAAAAAAAAAAAAAAAAAAAAAAAAAAAAAAAACACGGGAGACGGACGTCCGAGCGACGGCAGGCTCAAGAGCCTCTGGGCCTGTGGTTTGTGTTTTGCATCTTCGTGGGCGCCGCGGCGCGGCCGCCCCGCCCCTCGCGGGGGGCCGTCCCCCCTCGCGCCGTGGGGGTGCCGTGCTCCGTGCTCGGTGAAGAGCCTCCGGGCCTGGGCTTATGTCGGGCCTGTCCCCCATACAGGGAGGTTTTCGACGACAAATAAAAAATACCCCAAAAATGCCCCAAGATGGTCGAAAAATCGTCCCCAGACCATTTCTGGATCATGTTTGGATTATGTTTGGGGCATTTGTATGTTTCGTCGAGAATCCCCCTGTAGGGGGACAGGGCCGACTTAAGCCTGGGGGCATCATTGGGACCTTCAGGGGACAATCAGGCCCAGTCGGGTCCGCCCCGGGGCATCTTGCAACTCTCCTCGCACGGCCACGAAGAGTGCCAGAGAGGAGCCCCTAGAGGTGTCTGTCTGACCATGGGCGCGCAGGTGGCAGGGGGGCGGGAAAACTACAAGCGCCCTACCCGGCAGGAAAGAGGCCTTCGAACACGCCCCAGAGTGCGAGGTCACGATGGCGGATTTTGGCCTGCAGCGCCAGGCCGCGGAGAAGAGGGCGGAGGACGCGGCGAGGAAAAAAAGCGACGGCGCGTCGGGTGCCACGGACGGCGGCATTGAGGAGCTGGTGAGCGACAAGGAAGCAGCCACGCGCAGAGGGGGGTGGCGGGAGGGGGGTGGCTTCTTGGTAGCACCTCTGCTTCTTAGAAGGCGCGCGCCCTATCTGTAGATGCGAGGCCGGCGCCTTCTGAGAAGCGGCTTCCTCCTATGAAGCCTTCCCCCGTCCCTCCACCCTCTTGTGCGCGCCGCCAGAGGAAGGCCCCAGCACGGCAGACGAGCAGCATCGTTCGGCGCGACGTCGAAGAAAGCACTATTGCAGCCTGCGCGTGTCCGATCTTGTGCATGTTGATCGCGCCATGCGCGTGCTTTTCCCGATCGCCTATGTGTTCACCAACGTCGCGATGGCGATGACTGTATGGTGAGATGTGCGACTGTCGTAAGCCTACCCCATACGGCAGATAGGTTATTGGCATTGGCAGTATGACGCAGGGGAACGGGGCGAAGTGATGACGAGCACGGCTGTGAGAAGGCCGCATTGATGTTTCAAACAATGTGGGCAGCCCAAAGTATACTCTTGCACCTCCTAAGGATGCGAGGACGAAGGTATGTATGTGGATGTGTTGAAACGGTGGTCGCAATATATTAGTATCCATCGTGTACTTCGCCAGCGCCATCAGACGATGTCAGAGCAAGACCCACGTGATGATGACCAATGTACTTTGAGAGCCTCTGGGAGGTGTTGGATGACACTTCGAACTCGTCTGTTGCGCAAGGCTCCCAAGCGCGGTCGTCCTTGCTGTTTGCCTTGTGCCTGGTTGCATCGCAGATTTGCCACATCGCTCTCGACAGCTGGAAAAGGAGCACCATGCAACCCGCCATGTGTGTTTTCATGAGGTTGGCCTCTCGGGCAGGCCTCCAGGGCCGCCAGGACGGCCCAGGAGGCCCCCTGGAGAGAGCGTGAGCACAGGCCCCCTTGAGACCGTCTTCGGACATGCGAAAGGTGGGTTCCAAACCACGGTCCCGCCTGCGCAAAAGTCACGCGGCAGGGTCGAGAACCCCAACGGGCTCGAGCCTCAAAATCTGTCAACAAACGACGGGGAATCAGTGTGTGTGAGTGTATGTGTGTTCTGTGTGTTGTGTGTTGTGTGTTGTGTGTGTTGTGTGTTGTGTGCTGTGTGCTGTGTGCTGTGTGAAGTGCGTTGTGTGTTGTGTGTGGGGTGCTGTGTGCTGTGCGTTGTGCATCGTGCGTTGTGCGTTGTGTGCCGTGTGCTGTGTGCTGTGCGTTGTGCGTTGTGCGTTGCGTATTGCGTATTGTGTGCTGTGTGTTGTGCGTTGTGCGTTGTGTGGTGTGTGGGGTGTGTGTGTGTGTGTTGTGTGTTGTGTGTTTGTGTGTTGTGTGTTGTGTGTTGTGTGTTGGGTGTTGTGTGTGATGCGTTTTGCGTTGTGCGTTGTGTGGTGTGCGTTGTGTGTTGTGTGCTGAGTGTTGTTCGTTGTGCGTTGTGCGTTGTGCGTTGTGTGTTGTGTGGTGTGTGTCGTGTGTTGTGTGTTGTACGTTGTGCGTTGTGTGCTGTGTGATGTGGTCTGCGTTGTGGGTTGTGTGTTGTGTGTTGTGCGGTTTGCGTGCGTGCGTTGTGTGGTGTGTGTTGTGTGTTTGTGTGTTTGTGTGCTGTGTGTTGTGTGCGTGTGTGGTTGTGGGTTGTGGGTTGTGCGTTGTGTTTGTGCGTTGTGTGTTGTGTGTTGTGTGTTGTGTGTCGTGTGTTGTGCTGTGTTGTGTGTGTGGTGTATGTCGTGTGTTGTGCGTTGTGTGTTTGTGTGTTTGTGTGGTGGGTGGTGGGTGGTGTGTGGCGTGTGGCGTGTGTTGTGTGTTGTGTGTTGTGTGTTGTGTGTGGTTGTGGGTTGTGGGGTGTGTGTTATGTGCTGTGCGTTGTGGGTTGTGGGTTGTGTGTTGCGTGGTGTGCATTGTGTGGTGTGTGGTGTGTGGTGTGCGTTGTGCGGTGTGCGTTGTGCCTTGTGTGTTGTGTGTTGTGTGTTGTGCGTTGTGCGGTGTGCGGTGTTTGTTGTGTGTTGTGTGGTGTGTGTTGTGTGCTGTGTGTTGTGTGTTGTGTGTGTTTGCGTGTGTGTTTGTGTCTTTGTGTGTTTGTGTGTGTGTTTGTGTGTTTGCGTGTTGTGTGTTTGTGTGTGTTTGTGTGGTTGTGTGTGGTTGTGTGTTTGTGTGTGGTGTGTGGTTGTGTGGGGTTGTGTTGTGGTGTGTGTGTGTGTTTGTGTGGTTGTGTGTGTGTTCGGTCGTTTGTGTGGTTGCGTGGTTGTGTGTTTGTGTGTAGTTGTGTGGTTGTGTGGTTATGTGTTTGTGTGTTTGTGTGGTTGTGTGGCTGTGTGCGTGTGTGTTTGTGTGTGTGGGTTCGTGTGTATGTGTGTTTTTGTATGTGTGAATGTGTGTGTTTGTGTGGTCGTGTGCTTGTGTGTGTGTGGGTTTGTGTGTATGTGTGTTTGTGCGTGTGGACAAGCCAGACGCTGCACAACCACACTTATTTATTGCCTCACCGCATATAGCCAGCTAGCGCATAATCACTGAAGACATGCATCCTTACCATGTGAACTATACGCGTTACAACAATAGGAAGCCATATGATGTGCGACCATGCCACGCCGTCTGCGTTCTCCAATCGCCTGCGGCGAGTCCCGCCACCACGCCAGCCCAGCATTCTGGGTACCGCATGTCCGAGGCGGCACGAAAGGCCGCCACGTGTCTCCAGGCTCGGGAGAGGTTGTGGTAAGTATGGTGAGGGTTATGAGGATGATGGGGGTGAGGACGAGGATGATGATGATGACGGTGATGGTGACGATGATGCCGATGATGATGATGATGATGATGACGATGACGGTGATGATGACGATGATGATGATACTGATGATGGTGATGGTGATGATTCTGATTACGAGCATGATGGTGATGATGATGATGGTGATGATTATGGTGATGGTGATGATGACGATGGGGGTGGTGGTGATGGCGGTGATGATGCTGACGACGATGACGCCGACGGCGATAACGCTGACGATGATTATGATGGTGATGATGATGATGCCGATGATTGCGATGACGATGACGATGATAATGATGGCGGTGATGATGGTGGTGACGGTGATTAAGATGCATGGTATGATGAGTACGAAGATGACTATGATGACGAATGATGAAATTGATGATGATGCCAATGATGATGAGGAGGAGGAGGAGGTGCAGGAGGAGGAGGAGGGGGACGAGGATGGGGATGATGAGGAGTACGAAGTTGATGATGATGGAGAGAAGAGGAAGAGGAGTATGATGAAGATGGGGATGAGGATGAGGATGATGATGCAGATGATGATGATGATGCTGATGATGATGATGATGATGATGATGGTGATGATGATGGTGATGATGATGGTGATCATGATGATGTTGATGATGATGATGACGATGACGATGACGCTGATGACGACGAAGATGAGGATGATGAGGAGGAGGAGGAGAGGGAGGAGGCGTTGAATGAGGAGAGGAGGAGGAGGCGGAGGACGAGGAGGAAGAGGAGGAGACTCGTGTGTGTCGTCTTTGTGCTTTCTTGGCCTCCTCTGAGGCAGTCTTGGGGGTCCCTTGGAGCCATCTTTGGCGCCTCGGGTCCTCCTACGCCGGCTTGGGGCTCTCTTGGGCAGTCTTGGGGCACTCGTGCAGCAGTCTCCCTCTTGGGGCTCTATTGGGCAGTCTTGGGCAGTGTGGTGGGTGTCTGGGGGCCGTCGTGCTGCCGTCTTGGGCCGTCGAAGGGCCTTCTAGGGCCGGCGTGGGTCAAACTGGAGGCCCTCGTGGGCCGCTTTGGGGCCGTCTTGGATGCCTCTTGGGCCATCGTCGAGTCCTCTTTGGCCGTCTTGAGTTGACGGCAGCCCGAAAAGGCGAGAACACAGCAATTATTATTGAACCCAAGGGAAATAAGTGATTTGGGTTTCTTCTGACCATGTTGGAGGTCCTCTTATGGCCATGTTGGGCCCTCTCGGAGGCACCTTGGGCCGTCTTGAACCAATAGTCGACCGCCAGGGGGCCTTCTTGGCCGTATTCGTGACATTTTGGGCCGTCTTGGTGTCCTCGGTTGCTTGCGCGGGCCGTCTTGTAAGCTCGGGACGCATACCAATCGTTGAAGACAAGGGATCGTGGCTTGGGAGGCCCTGGAGAGCTAGGGAGCAGCGCCTGGGAATGCGGAAAGTGCACGATCCTCGAGCGGGTGCGCGTGGGATGTGAGGTCTAGGAGTCAGCAACCGTGCGGGAATTGCACCATCCTCGGGCGGGCGCGCATGGAATGAGGGCTCAGACATTGGCTCCCATGCGGGAAGGGCACCATCCTCGAGCGGGCACACGTGGGATAAGGGTTCGGACATCAGCTGCCATGCGTGCAGTACGCCATCCTCGAGCGGGCGCGCGTGGAATGGAGGATTAGGCACCAGCTGCCATGCAGGAAGCGCACCGTCCTCGAGCGAGCACGAGGGAAGCGGCCGCGGAAACGAGGGGCGGTGCACACATGAGTCTACGAGCCGAGGGAGGGGCGGCCCCTGATTTGAACTACACGAGGCCTACCAGGCAGGCATTGTTTTTCGTCCACGCCTCAACGTGCCAGGGGGCACGGTGGCGGAGTACCCTACCAAGCCACACGGCGCCCTATCACACGAGGGCATGCGCGTTATTACCGCAGGACGCCATGCGATGAGCCATGTGAAGCCGTATGGCTTACACGGGGAAAGGTAGAATTCACAGTAAGGATTGGCCAAGAGCCCAGTCCGATGTTCAATCCTTCTCCTGATAAGGAACAGGGTGCGAGCCCCGTGGGGGCATTTCACTTGAAAGACACAGTGGGCACGGAAGGGGGGATTGACACTATGTCTTTCCGGATGTGATAGCTCAACTACCACGTCTCTCAGCATTAGCACTACAACCCAGGTTTCTAGTATTATTAATGTGATTGCGACTAACATCATTGATAATTCTCATGTTCTTCATCCTCCGCCGTTCCTCTTACTTACAAATTAGCCCTCGCCGTCGCACTACCATGCGTGATGTTACGGCGGGCTGATCGTTTCGCCGGAGACTCCCACGCCATCTTCAATCCGGAACGTTGAAATACCCAGCAGATAAACGTATGGAGGGCGGTCGGTTCTCAACATGTGGTTCTCACCCGAACGTCGCGCACATTCGCTATGCAGGTTTTAACAAAAATAAGGACTGGACGCGACCCATCTCCAAGATGTGGTTCTCGTTTGAGCGCCGCGCACATTTGCATTCAAGTTCCCACCAGTGATACGGATGGACGGCGGCTCATGTTCAGAATGTTGTTCTCGTTCGGGACCTCCCCAAGATGATTCACCATATTGTAGTGGCCTTCGGCCAGTGCCGCCGATCCGGGGCGCTCCGACTGATGTGATCCTTCTTCGCCCTCGTCCCTCCTCTCTTTTTCCCTCCCCTCCTCTCACTCAGCATTTATCCAGTTGCCGTCGGCCTATCCCGCCACCGTGCGTGGGTGGTGGGTCAGAGGCCTCATGGATGCTGGTTGGGATCTCGTGGTTGGCTGGGACTTCTGGGGGCCTCTTGGGCGCCTCTTGGGGCTTCTTGGGGGCCTCTTGGGCCTCTTGGGGCCACTAGAGGGCCTCTTGGGGGTCTCTTGGGAGCCTCTTGGGGCTTCTTGGGGGCCTCTTCTGCGCCCCTTGGGGCCTCTTGGAGGCCTCCTCGGAGCCTCTTGGTGCGGGAGGGGTGGTACTCGAGTTCGGAACCCCCTCGGAGGCCACGATCCTTGTGAGGGGTGTCAAAAAACGCATCCGCCGGAAACTCGCACCCCCCCCCCCCCACCCCCCCTTCCCCGGCAGAGCCACCCCGGCAACCCCCCCAGAGGCTGAGGCTCAGCCTCGAGGCTGTAGCTGAGACTCCTTGAAACTCACACGCCGGATCGGCGGATTTGTAACGTTGCACAGCAGCTTCAAGGATGAAGAGCGGCTCCTTCTCAAAGTCGTATTCTTTGTCGCGACATCGTGAAACATAAAGCCATGAACAATTGTGTGGCAACTACACGTCTGGAGGGGGGGTCCTTTTCCAGACGGGGTTCTCGTTGAACATTTCCTTGTGCCCTGCTGACCATGCCTCCTCGCATCCCTTTTTCCAGGACGGGCCCCAAGCTAGCATGGCAGGCCCATGTGGCGCTCGTTGTTCAAAGGGGCGCTGGCCGTAGTGCAAAACGACAGCCCGCAGAGACTTACGACGAGGGGACTTTCGGATAGGACCGCGCGCTGAAGCTCCGCGGGTGCCTCCTGGCTTTGCTATAGAACTCCTCCTCGTCTTTCTCTCCCCGTCTTCCCCTTCATCCCTCCCCTGCTCCTCATCGTCATGAGGAGAGTGCGAGGGGACCGGCGGCCGCGGGAGCAAGAAGAGGGGCGGGGACAGGGGAGGCGGGAGTCGTGGGAGGGGCGGGAGGGAGAAGCACACAATGAGCAGGGGAGGGAGGAGAGGGAGAGAGAGGGGGAGAGGGACCGTCGGTATGGGGACGACGAAGAAGGGGGAAAGGGCAGGGAAGATATAGACGGGGGAGGGGGAACGGAAAGGGAGGAGGGAAAAGGACAGAGCAGATGATACGGTGTTTATGGTTTTACGGCTTAGGGTCTACGGCCGAGGGCCAACAGGAGTTTCGAGTCGGCAGCTCTTCTGCTCGAACACAGCCCGCACCCGCCCACCCGCAGGTTGCTCGCAAATCTCAGGAGCTTGTGACTGAAGCGAGCGATAAGAGTTTGTCAGCACCTCTTAACAGGCACACTGCCGCATGGAACCTGACCGCGCGGAATCAAGAGTTGGGCGGCCGTGTCGGGCCGATCGGGCGGACCCCAAAAGGTGGGCCGGCCAGACGGACTTTCACGTCCCAGCCGGGCGTGCGGACCACAACGGGCGGGCTGGTCAGGTCGGGCGGGCAAAAGTTGTGCGGCCGTGTCGGGTCGATCGGGCGGACCCCAGAAGGTGGGCCGGCCAGACGGACTTTCACGCCCCAGCCGGGCGGCGTGCGGACCACAACGGGCGGGCTGGTCGGGTCGGGCGGGGCGTCGAAGTGGGGGAACCATCGCGCATGACACCATCGCGAGAAAACTTGTCGTGTGTCGGCGGCGGGCGCGGGGGGGAAATGAGAAGGGGCGGGACTTCCGAGGCTTCTGAGAAGTTTCTGGACTTCTGAGAGGGCTTCTGAGAAGTTCTGTCTGTATTCGAAATAGGCCAAGGAAACGTCTCAGAAGCCCCCCGGACTTCTACGAAGTCCCGCGGCCTTCTGAGAAGGCCTTCTCCTTCTCATTTCCCCCCTGGGCTCGTCGCCTAGTGTGGGACCGGGTGTCAGCATTGGTCTCCCACTTTGTGTGGCGAATTGTGTCGGCGACTGGCCATCCATCTTTGTATTTATGCAAAGCGCGGTGCCTGCCACAAACTGGAGAGTCAGGGCGGCGGGGTGCAGCGAGACTTCGAGCAAGCTTTCACTGAAAATCAACCGCGAGCGTACAGATGCAAAACCTACGGATGGTGATGCCGATTATGATGATGGAAGTGTCAGGAAATTTGTGGCTTTGAACTCGGCGTTGTATCTCCAGCTGTGCAAGTAAACGACATGTTGGTATATTTGTTTGTGCAATGGGCAAGTGTTCGGACTTGCTACCGCATGAGATGTTTCACATAGCAAGCGCTTAGTTCAATGAATGTGGCATGTGTGCGCTTGTGACAGCATGAGGATTCATTAAGGCTTGTTTAGTCATGCACATGTGATCTCATCGTTTGAGCACCGACTGATAGTGTTTGGCAGGGGTACTTGTCCGTTGGGGACACTATGATTTCATTATTGTTGAACGCAGCCCAGTGCAACATCCATATGAAAAGGAAGTACGCGGAGTGCCGTGAATCCCAGCCTCGACATGTCAATTGAGTGTGGTTCTTGGAAAATGAGTGTATTGTTTCGGGTTTGGGCGCTACGGCTTTACATGTAATTTGCGTTGACAGTTCAGAGGATTGGAATGCTCCGCATTCAATGGCTTGGCCTACCTCATCGCACATAGATCTTTTCCACCCAAACTAAGTCACCCACTGCCCATGTTGTATGCAGTCTTCCTGTGCGACCTTGGGGCGGGAAAAAACAGGGGGCGGCGTGCGGCTTCGTGCCAGTCTGCGCACCTGCACGTCTGCACGTGCGTTCGTGCTTGCGTGCTCCGCAGCTTCCGCCCTCAAGACGCGCCTGCGCGTCCCGCGCGCGTCTGTGCCTCTCGCTCCACCTCCCCGCGCGCGGCCATGCTCGAGCCGGGCCAACCAGCGAGAGACGGCGGCGGCGCCGAGCGTGCGCCGAGCGGCGACCGAGGGCGCAGCCGCTCCCCTGGCGCCCACGCCGACAAGGGCCGGTCGGTGGACGCCGACGGCAGTTGGCGGCTCAGGGTCATGCACATGAACGGCAGCTTGATTTGCGAGTTGGCGACGGGGCGGCTGCAGCAGGTGGGGCAAGTGAAGCAGATGCTCGTGGCCACCACGAGCATCCCGGCCCGTTTTCAGCGCCTCGCGCACGGGTGCCGCACTCTTGACGACGACCGCACGTTGGCCGACGAAGGCTTGGAGGACGGCGCGGAAGTGACGCTGGTAAAGTGCGCCGTGGACATGCCGTCCTTCCTTTCGGTGGCTGTGGACGACCCCGTGCTCGTGCCCTACCTGGCGGGATGCCGTGCCGATCCCGACGAGGCGGACGAGAACGGCTGGACAGCGCTCCACTGGGCTGCGCACCAGGGCCATGTCTCTTTCGGCCTCGCGCTGCTCGCCAGCCCCGCCTTCACCGCCGTCAACGCCAGAGACGTCGGCGGCACCACCGCCTTGCACACGTGCGCGCGGCTTGGTCGCCTGGACCTGTGCCGCGGGCTGCTGGCCCGACAGGACCTGAACTCCTTGGACGAGCGCTCCACCAACGGAAATACCGCCCTGCACTGGGCCGCGCGCAGCGGCCACTCCGACGTCTGCCTTCTCCTGCTGGGGACGGAGAGGTACGGCGCCGTCAACGACCAGAACCTGCACGGGTGGACGCCGCTCCACTACGCGGCGGCCGGAGGGCTCCTCGAGGTGTGCAGGGCGCTCCTGGACCACCCGAAGGCCACGGCCCCCGACCAGCAGACCAACAACGGGGAGACCGTGCTGCACTGGGCCGCCCTGAACGGGAACCTCGAGATCTGCAGGCCTCAGCTGACCTCACACGCTCGCTCTGACACGCAACACGCACGCACCGTGCTTCGAGCGCCCGCCCCAAAGCGCTGCGTGTCGGCTCGGCGCGCCTGCCCGCGTTTTGGGCGAACGCCTCGCCCCGGACCCACGTTTTCAATCCGCGTGCTGAGCTCCGCGTCGACACGCTTAGTGCTGCGTGTTGCGTATCGGGGCGGCTGAGCTACAGGCTCCTCGTGGACCGCGTGGACGCCGCCCAGCCAGACGTGGAGGGCCTGACGGCCTTCGACGGCGCCCGGGCGGCGCTGCTGTCCGCGCGCCCCGCGCCGTGTGGACAGCGCGCGCTCGCTGCCATCTGCGAGCTGCTCCGGCCGCTCACGCCAGGGGCCACGGAGGTGCCTGGCGGGACCACAACCCTCCTCGAAGTCTAACGTTAAGTCGGGCCTGTCCCTCTACAGGGGGATCTTCGGCGAACAAAAAAAAATGTATATTGGAAAAATACTCCCAAATGGTCAAAAAATGCAACAAAAATAGTCCCCTGATTATTTTTGGACTAGTTTTGAGTATTCCTCCTGTAGAGGGACAGGCCCGACTTAAGTCTAACGCAAGTTTCTCATGTTGGTCGACGCGCGAGACGCGGCCCACGGGGTCGGATTTGTATGCTTGCAGTCGCCGATGTCGGAGCGAACGTTGAAGTTTTGGGGTCCTGGGGCGCAGCCACGTCGCGGGAAAAACTTGCGTTTCATTTCGAGGAGGGATGCAGGACTGGGATGAGTCGTTCCAGGGCGTTCTGGAGCGCTCTGGAACGGCCGCGGCGCCCGATATGTCTTCCAGAGCCGCCGAACCTCCGAGATCCCCGTTTTGTCCTGGTCCGATGTTGTCCCGATTCTGGCTTCGTCGTAAGGCCAGCTACACGTAAGAGTGCCCCTTCGCAGCAGTGACCTTTGGTGCGTGGCTTTTGGGGGGGGGGCGCGAGGGGCCAAACCAAAGCACGCGGGCTGTCACTGCCGCGTCGGAAGGAACGATCTGCGAGCCGCGCACCAAAGGCCACTCTCTTAGCCCGGGGCCACTCCTGCGTGTCGCCGACGAGGTGGCCGGAGGCGGCCGAGAGGAGGCCGCGGCGGTGTGGAACCCGTTCGCTTGCCCCGTCGAGGCCCTGGCGGGAGCCGGCGGTGCACCCCGGTTGGGGGCGCGCTGCGGGTAGCAGGGCACCGCCCTGGCGCGGCCGCGCCCGCGCGAGCGGGGGAGCGAGAGAGCAGAGGGGGAGGAGCGAGGGGTGAGGGGCTGCGGCGCCGACGAGGACGACGACGGAGAGTGAGGAGGAGGGGGAGGCGGGGGAGAGGAGCGAGGAGCGAGGAGGAGGAGGAGGAGGAGGAGGAGGAGGAGGAGGAGGAGGAGGAGGAGGAGGAGGAGGAGGAGGGGGAGGGAAAGGGAAGACGACGGCGAGGATGGGCAATGGGAAGCGGAGGAGGAGGACGAGGAGGGGGAGGGGGAGATGGGCTCTCGGCGCCACCGTGGGTATTGGGGCGGGGTGTGGTGCGATTGTGCTTTACCTCCGATCCCAGTCGAAAGGATGGCTGGTCTCCAGCACAGATCTTCTGAGCCTCTGGTGGCAGGCCAGGCCTGCCCGCGCTGCCCAGGGCATCCTTCCCCTGAGGCTCCCCAGTTTTCCCGTACCACGGCCAGACTGACGGTGAGGGCAGGTTGGGTGGCTCGTGCTGTCTGTGGTGGTGTGGCGTCTAGTGTCTAATCGCAGCGGTGGCTGTACGAGTTTGTCTGCTATGTATGTCCCCAACTATATTGTGGTGTGGGGTCCTGTTTTGAAGAGACGGGGCCCCGCGTCACTCACTTGTTCCCTCTTTCCTCTGTCCTCATACTCCTTCTCCTCCTCCTCCTCCTCCTCCTCCTCCTCCTCCTCCTCCTCCTCCTCCTCTTCCTCCTCCTCCTTCCCCTCCTGCCTTCTCCCATCATCACCTCATCCTCCTCCTCTTGCTCTCATCCATCACCATCAGCAGCATCATCAGCAGCATCATCGACGTCGTCGCGACCATGAACGGACCGAGCTTAACAACGAGCTCTTGAGGAGGCGGATCAACATCCAGTCCTTCCAGGTCGGGACCCATGGGAAGCGTCTTGGAATTATGATTGGGCCCTCGGGGCCTGCTGTTTCTTATTGGGCCCCTGTGCTGCTCAAGCTCCTCTCCAGGATCGGGCACATCAAAACGCTGGGCTTAGGTCTGGTCCATAAAATCTACGCGTGCAACTCAGTGGCCTTGTCTGTGCTGACGGATATGTTGCAGATGCTTCCCGCCAGGCCCGAGGTGATCCGAGCTGAAAGAGCTGGCCGCCAGAGGTTGACCGAGGGACCCAGGCATGCCATCCCCACCCCTCTTCTCGAGCACTCCTTGAATATCGGGTTCCCTGTGGAACCTCGAAATCTCCTGACCACCAGGCGTGTCTCTATGTTTCGGATCGCCCTTAAGAGCGAAGCGTTCGACCGCGTCTGGGAACGGTTCCACTGGCTTGATAAGTATGACGTCGAGAGGTTGGCCGTGGTTCGACACAGAGAGTAGTTTGGTAGTTCTAGTTGCGGGTCTATTACTGAGAACTGGCAGAGTGTTACTCAGAGTTGGCCCTTCGTTGACGAGTCTACACACGAATTTCAAAGGAAGGTGACCATGATGTTTGCCTAGAAAATCGAACGGTCCTCCATCCCCGTCTTGCTGTTCCCAAAGATCCGAAATGTGTTGCAGTGGGGGCCCTATGATCCATAGCGAATTTCTGTACCGAGCCATTTCCCTTGCCGCTACCAAACAGGCTCTTCGTATTGCCTCCTCTCTGTTTCATCTGCATCGCCTGGCCGACGAGTGTCCGTTTTCGAGTTTTCGATGTGGTAATAGGTGCTGTGTTATGGCCTGAGAGGCCCGGGCTTCCGATCATATCACACATTGCGTCCAGTGCCCTGTGCTTATGCCGCTCCGCCCTCACGTGATCCCGTCGCTGCCGCCTGAGTTTGCCGATTGGAAGGCCACTGGCCGCATTTTTCTGAGACCCCGAATGCCCAACTCGAGCGCCTTGCACGGAGCCGTTGTTTTGCATGATGTCCTTCCCGCAACAGATAACAGTGTGAGGGGCGAAAGGTTTCTCGGGCGATTTGCCTGTCAGGGTCGAAGCCCTGATGAGAGCACGTGCACGCGCCATTGCCAAGCGCAACCGCGCCATTCGAGAGCTGCTCATCTATCGAGGTTAAGCCCCATCTATGGAGCCTGATATCAGCATAATCGTCACCGTAGTCGTCAACGTCATCGTCATTATCTGCACCAGCAGCATCATCATCATCATCATCATCATCATCATCATCATCATCATCATCAGCAGCAGCAGCAGCAGCAGCAGCAGCATCATCACCTTCTTGACGGCACACCCGTCACACGTTTCGTGGCCCCATAAGGAACCCCCACCCGAAGGCACCAGCGGCAGGGTCCTCATGGCGCACCCGCACCCGATTCGGCGCACCCCTCAAACGCTTCGTGGCCCCGTTGGGAGCTCCACCGCAGGCCACAGCGGCAGGGTCCGCATGGCGCACGCACACCTGATTCGGCACACCCCTCAAACGCTTCGTGGCCCCGTTGGGAGCTCCACCGAAGGCCACAGCGGCAGGGTCCGCATGGCGCACGCACACCCGATTCGGCACACTCCTCACGCGTTTCGTGGCCCCGTTGGGAGCTCCACCGCAGGCCCCAGCGGCAGGGTCCGCATAGTGTACATGCACTAGAGTCGGCACACCCGCGAACGCCCCGCGACGCGCGCTGGTCGCCCCGAAGGAGGTCGAGCGACGCTCGCGGGTCGTCCGCGGCGCCAGGTGCGAAAAAACGTGTGCAAGGGGCGAGGCGCCAGTCAGAGCGCGCGGGTGTCGGGCACCATTTGGAGACAAAGCGCAAGGGCGTCCCCGCGACGCGCGCTGGTCGCCCCGAGAGGATTCCAGCGTCGCGCGCAGTCGTCCGCGGTGCGAGGGCATACATCTGGGGTGTCGAGAGAAGGCGAGATTCGGGCGGGCCGTTCCTCTGGTCAGGCCTCGCGGATGGACGCGGCGAGGCCCCACTCTTTAGCGAGGCCGTCCCCAAACTAAAAAGTCCCTCCGCTTGCCCATGTCCGCTTTACTTTCCACATACGCCCCAATCCTCTTGCCTCTCCTCAGTTACATCTGCCTCGCGATGCTCGCAGGTGCATATGGTTGGGTCCTTCACCGGGCCAATGTGATTTTGCTTCGTTCTCCCAGGGTTATCCGTTGCAATACACCCTCCAGTCCCAAGTTCCCTCCTCATACAATGGGAACCATTACCAAGAAACACCCTGCTTGCCTCCAACGTGCCCTGGGTTTCTTGGATTTCGATGTTTTTGCTGTGGGAAGCGTGACATTCCCACAGCAAAAATCAATGGACGCCCTGGGGTCTCAGGGTTGGGTTTCTTGTGGAAGGGCCCCTTATTGCACATCCCTGCAAGTTGTCCATCTCATCACAAAGAAGCGCAGTTGGGCCTGCCATGTTGGTGGAAGTTCCCGTTACTGCAGAACTGCCTTGAATCTTTTTGGCGGGCATTCAGGGACGCGAAAATCATGATCATACAGTTCGACGAGGTGTCCTGCGAGATTCCTTTGTCAAACAACAAAAAAACGGCTCCCAAGCCGCGTAAGTGTTGCACCAACTGCTCGGTGTAACCGCGAACTTCTAGGAAGTTCCAAGCGAAACCCCCAGTTTGAAAAGAAGGAAGAAGAGAGAAAGAGAGAGAGAGAGAGAGAGAGAGAAAAATCAGAAAAACGCCATGGATCCGTACGGTGCTACGGTGCTACATGTGTTGGCACTATCTGTGTTGCCGGGGCTGTCCGTCCGCACAACCCGCTGGTGTGAACATTTGAATTGGGTGGGTACTCACGATTAAAAAGTATGCGTTCCTAGAAACATGTAGCATGCACGGCTCTGCGAGCGCGTTTATGATAATGTTGGACAAAACCGGCGGCAAGAAAAACCCACCATGGTACGAAAAATTGTGTTGTGGATCCCACCCTTGCGTTTGAAAATATGGTCTCGAAATCCATTGGAACCGTGATCGCCACCCTTATTATAGACATACTTGAGCTCTACCGTATTTTTCTGCGCGCGCAAAATATGAGCTCGGCTATCTCGTCGTGCTGCCCGCGTACGACCTCTTGCTTTTCATGTCCCATGGCGTCGCAGGGTCAAGATGTGTGTTGATGTCGTCACAAGGTAGCCTGAAGAGAGGATGCACCACCGCTGATCACAACCTCCCGTGATTGGGGGGCGAGCGGGCAGCGCGGTTAGCATCCGCCCGAGTGCCGCCTTGTGCGGCAAAAGGTTGGGGCAGGCGGCTTCTTCTTCCTCCTCCTCCTCCTCCTCCTCTTCCTCCTCCTCCTCCTCTTTTTCCTCCTCCTCCTCCTCCTCCTCTGGCTTCTGTTGCAGATCCTCCCACTCATTCCCCATCGTCGTCCTCCGACTCCTCCACCTCCCCCTCTGACTCCTGTCTTACTCCCCTCCCTCCCTGCTCCTCTCTCTCTCTCTCTCTTTCCCTGCTCTCTCTCTCTCTCTCTCTTTCTCTTCTTCTCGAGCGTTTTTGGCTCAAGTGCTTCTGGGCTCGGGCCCGGTCGAGTTTCTTACCTGCTGGGCACAATCCAGCGGGCCGATCGCCCTCCGAGTCCCCCGCCCTTGCGGAGCCCTCGACAATCCAAGGGCGGGGGCCACCCACTGTCCACTCACACCGGTCCTGGCCAGACCGATCCTGGGCCCAGCACCGGCCCAGGAAGCAGGAAGGTGGAGGAGCAGGACCAGGAAGGAAGGGAGGGATGAGAAGGAGGAGAAGGGGGGAGGGAAGGAGGGAGGCTGCGGAGGGAGAGCAGGCGGGCGGAGGAGGGCGGCGAGAGGAAGTGCCAGGGCCAGCCATGGCACGGGCGACGACGGAAACTGTTTTGCCGAGTCTCGTCATCTTCTGGATGCCGGAGCCGCCATTTTGAGGGGGCCCCGTGGGGGTCAGATCGCCTTCGGCTCCCCTCGTGCTCGGGCCGCCCTGGGTCCTGACCGCTGGGCGTCCCCGTGGCGGTCGCCCGCGCTCTCGGAGACGACGAGGGGGGCGAGCAGCCCATGGGGCGGGCACCACACGGCATCGCCCGGGGGCCTCGTCGCCGAAGGCACGGATCGCCGGCGCGCCCAGACACGCATTCTGCCCCCCCCCCCCCCCCCGAATGGAGGGTTTCTCCGAAGGGCTTGGGCGACCCGTCCGCCTCTCTCCTCCTCCTCCTCCCCCCCTCCTCCCCCTCCTCCTCCCCCTCCTCCTCCTCCTCCTCCTCCTCCTCCTCCTCCTCCTCCTCCTCCTCCTCCTCGTCCTCCTCCTCCTCATCCTCCTCCTCCTCCTCGGGTCGACTGCGGCCCCAGGGGAAACCTTGCACCCCCCCCCCCGAGCCTTCCTTTCTTGCGTGCCGCCCTGCAGGTGTAATCCCCACCGACGCCCACCACTGAAATATGCAGAGGCTGCGTTCCAGCGCCCCTTCGTTCAGCTCGAAACTGTCTTCGCATGAATTGTCCTGGCCTTTTGTAGTTTGCCATGCTCTACCGATGCGCCGTCTAGGCGCGGCTTCTTCCTGTCCTGTCCTGCCCCACCCCCCCGAGCTGTTCGCCCTTACCGTCGCCCCTGATACGGTCGTCCTTGCGCGGCCCCTGGAGGCCTCTGGACGCCCCCTCCCCCCTCGCGCCCAGGGGGGGTCTGCAGGCCCGGGCTGGACGCCCCCCGTCCTTGGGGGGTTCTGTAGGCCCGAGGGGGTGCTGCGATCTTCCAGGGACCGCCCAGAGACCTCCCCGCTCGATCCTCAAGGGGGCCGCAGGCAGAACTCGGCACTCCCGGATCCCTGACGTCATGATTGTTTCACAGCGTCGAGCCCCCGATGTCTCCGCCCCCAGACCAGCTTTTCGTGTTTGTCTGCGCAGTCGGTTGACGGTCCCAGGTCACGGCGAGGGACCCCAAAGACCAGAAATCCCTGAAGCCGTTCTCGCTGTCTGCGTCATGTCTGCTCACGATGCGAGGGGAGAGCATGCTACGCATGGAATGACTTGAGTAGAAGCTGAAGCGCTGGATCTGTGAGTGGTTCAGCCTAGGCAGTCTGATGATCAGAGGCGGCTTGGATGCCTCCGTTGGACTTGGGTCGGCCGTGATGCCAGCCTCCCGCCCTGTCGGCTATGTTGGGCTTGGGTCGGCCACAGTCAACCCGAATAGCAAGGATGGGCAGCCGTCCCAAGGGTGCCCTTGCATCCCTGCCTCCCCGGCCCCTCCTTGGCCACTCTCGTTGGCCGCGCCCCGCGCGGCAAGCCTCGACGTGGCCTTCCAGGGCCCCTGCATCCTCATCGCGCACCTTACAGTCGGGGCCCTGAAGAAGGAACCCTTTTCGTTGGGGAGGGGCTCCGCGTTCCTTAGTGTTTCGCAGCTTGCCTCAGGTTTTGCTTTTGTTTTCGATCGGAAATCGAAGTTCAACGTATGGAAAAAAAGGGGCCTCGTTCCTTATTTTGGGTTCCTTAGGTCAAGGCCCCGACTGTGTACTGGTTGACTGCACGTCGCCTGGGGGCCCCCTGTGGTGGACAGCGGGCGCCCTCCCCCGCCCCGGCCGTGCCGCTGCAGAGCGTGCCCCGGGCGGCGCAGCGGGGCCGCCGCGGCCTCACGCTCGGCGCGCTGTGCCTCCTGGGCCTCGCGCTGCGCGCGGCCTGGCGCTCGGCGGGCCCGGCCTTCGCGGGCGCCTCGCGGGCGCCGGCAGGGCCCAGCCGCGGCGGGCGGAGGGTCGTCGGACCGGGGGCAACGGCACTCGGCTGCGAGCGAGGGTCGACTACACGCAAGAGTGGCCCTTCGCTGGAGTGACCTTTGGCGCTGGCCCAGAGGGTGTCGGGAGACTTCTCTTGTGGAGTGAGCTTGGCCTCGCGTCGGCACCCGCATCGCGCTTTTTTGTGCTCGCATCTGAGCGCGCCAGGTTTGGGCCCAGCCCTTGCAATCGACAGCAACGCATACGTGTCGGCACTCGGCTGCGAGCGAGGGGGGGCGGTGAGACGAAGAAGGCCTTCTCAGAAGGCTCGGAAGTCCCCCGGCCGTCCGAGAAATGTTTTGAGCTTTCCCCGAGGGCACAGGAGACCTCCGAGAAGGCCCGTGGGCTTCTGAGAAGTCCCGCCGCCGCCTTCTGAGAAGGCCTTCTCCTTCTCACTTTCCCCCCTCGCTGGCCGCCGAGATACGGGGGAAAAGGCTCGGGGGGGGGGACGGTTCGGCCCCAACTCGCCCACTGATCGTCGAGAAGGGCCCGATAGCCCCACCCCGCCCAGGAACGTGCGGATCCGCTTGTCGCCGAGACATCGGCGATGCATCGCCGATTCCAGGTCGGCGTCTCCCCTTGAGCAACAGGTAATTACCGATACCGGTACTCCAGATTTCGTAATGAAGGGAGGGGGGTCTCATTTCGGGGGGGGTCTCTTCCAGGCTATCTTGGAGGGCCTGGGGGGTCTGGGGACGATGTTTTGGAGGGTTCTCCCACGGGGGAGGTCTGAAATGGCTTGTCTTGGAGGGTCCAGACCCGCTCCCTTTTATTACAAAATCTGGAGTACCCTTCCCTCGTTCTCGCCTTGTGGGGGCCTATTGGGAGGCCCTCGCCGCCACGGCTGGGTTCGCTTCGACATTCTGGTCAGAACGGAGGCTGGGAGAGGTCCCAGGAGTGGCGGTATCGGTGTCCTGTGGTTGCCCCAGGTCGTGCGCAGTGTCGGCGACGGCTTCCTGGACCTGGCGGCGGTGGAGCCGGCGGTGGCGAGCTACGTGGGCATCTGGAAGCCCTTGTTCCTGGAGGCCAAGGAGAGCGGCTTGGCCCCGGAGCCCTGGGCCGCCCAAGAGCTGTTGCCGCCGCCGCCGCCGTCCCTCCCCCCCTGCTTCCCATCCTCATTATTGTACCACGCTCCTCCTCGTCCCCGTTGATCATCCCTCCTCCAGCTCCTGATATTGCTCCTCGTTTGCATGTCTCCCCCATCTCCACCTCAGTATCCTCCTCTTCCTCCTCCTCCTCCTTGAGGAGGCGGAGGAGGTGATTTTGGCCGTCTCGCCGAGGCCACCTTGGACGCTGGAACTGGCCGCGACCCCCCCCCCTCCCAGACCCTGGGAAAGGGGATATGGAGGAGGGGTGACCCCCTCCCCGAATGGAAAGAGGGAAGATTCAGGCGATCGCAAACATGGATTAAGGGGGCATAGATTAGCGACGGGTCCCGTTTCCATGGGAAATCGCAGATTTCCGCCGCCGAGCGGGGCGGCACTGGCCGCACTTTGGGGAGGGCATCTCCCCTGATCCATGGATTTGGCGACCGCGCGCCAAATCCATGGATCGCAAATCCATATTTGCGCGCCCCCGAGTAACCCCCTCCCCGAATGGGAAGAGGGAAGATGGAAGAGGAAACTCGTGAAACCACTCACTCCCAGAGGGCTGGTGGGATTCCACCTCGGGGAGCAGACAACATGACGGCAAGTGTATTCGGGTGGGGGGGCTGGATGTTCCATAACGAAGGCTGCACCCACCCTTGCCCAGGCTATCGCGAAGGACAGGGTCGCCCTCACAAGGTTACTGCAGAGGTCTATCTGTCTCCCTTCCTTCGCTGCCCTAGCCGCGCATCCCCACGAGCCCGTGGCTTCTCTGAGCACCAGAGATGTTCTGGACCCAGAAGAGGGTGGGAGCGCCCTGGCCGCGCTCCGACTCTCACAAGGGGGGTGGTCAGATCACCCCAACTGGATCATTAGCGACGGCTATGAACAACGTAATCGTGCACACGCCTGAGGCTGTCTGCATCTGATCAAAATAGGACTGGATATCTGCCTCACGCCTCTGCCCCGAGAACAAGAGGAGAACGCATGTTGTCCCGCTGCTGGAAGGGGGGCGTTGGATACAAACCTGGGGCTCCAAATCTTCATCTGGGAAAAGGGTGGCTGTACAGTCGGGCTTCTCGACGTCGGGGGCATCCAACCAGGCACGGGCCCCCGGGAGTCCAGGACCGATGACGGGCAAGGGGGGCAGCCGCGCAAATGTTGCGTAGTGCACTTGACGTCTGGGCCCTTTAGTTAAAACAGCATCCTCGCACTTCTATGCATTCATGCCTTCGCTACCGATGGGCTGCAAGGTGGTAGCAAGGTTGGCTAAACACTCCCTGCATACATGACGCAGGTGTGTCAGCAGCCTGGGGTGCGAATGGAAATTCTTTACGCTTCGCGTATCCCCACCAGCCCATCTCAGAACAGCAACTCTTGCGAAGCATGCCGACAGTCGTGTTTTTCAGGCGTGTTTCCGCCTGCCCCCGCATATCTCCCCTGTTCCTCCTTCCTCCCGCCTCCTTGTACATCCTCCTTGTGGTGGGAGCGGGAGAAGGACGAGGCGGAGGAGGAGGGAGAGAAAGCGCTCCTCGTGGTTTGAGTCGTTTGGGGTTTCTCGTCCTGGTGTGAGTCGTTCGGGCCCTTCTTCCTGGTGTGAGTCGTTCGGGCTCTTCGTGATGTGAGTCGTTCGGGCTCTTCGTCCTGGTGTGAGTCGTTCGGGCTTCTCGTGGTGTGAGTTGTTCGGGCCCCTCGTCCTGGTGTGAGTCGTTCGGGCCCCTCCTCCTGGTGTGACTCGTTCGGGCTCCTCGTGGTGTGATCGTTCGGGGCGTGGTGTGAGTCGTTCGGGGCCCTCGTCGTGGTGTGAGTCGTTTTGGGAGCCTCTTGGAGGCCTTTTGGGGCGTCTTCGGGGCCTCTTGGCGGCCCCAGGGGCTTCTAGGAGCGTCTTGGGTGCCTTGGGGGAGCCTCTTCGGGCCTCTTGGGAGCCTCTTGGAGGCCGTTTGGGGCGTCTTGGGGGCCTCTTGGCGGCTCCAGGGGCTTCCAGGAGCGTCTTGGGTGCCTCGGGGGAGCCTCTTGGGGCCTCTTGGGCGCCTCTTGGGGGCATCTTGGGGGCCTCTTGGAGGCCTCTTGGGGCCTCTTGGGACTCTTTGGGAGGGGTCTGGGAGGAATCTTGGGGCCATCTGTCGGGCGATCGATCACAGATGGGGCGAGCACTTTTCTCCCCCCCCCGTCGGGGCCAGAATCCTCGTGAGGGGTGTCGAATTTTAGCCCTCCCAGGAGTCGAAAAAGACCCCTCCAACGACCCGCGAGACGCCCTCTCCAGGCCCAGGGGGAGGGGGTAGGGGGAGGGGTAAATCCGTCCCCGAAGGGGAAGAAGGGGGTTGAGAACAGAGCGGGCTCTCTAAACCACTCACGCCCAAAGGGCTGGTGGGATTGAGCAGGCATGACATACACACCGTGCCTACACCTAGCTTCGGGGAAAGATCCAGCTCGACGTGAGCCTTCGCTTGGTGGACGGCCCAAGAGGCCATCGTGCGGAAAAAAGCCTGGCAATCAATGCAAGCGAACCTTTCGGGTGTAGGAGGAGGAGGAGCCACGAACGGAGGACGGAGCCCTATATGCATGGCAAGGTCTCCTAACTGATGGTGCCAAATCTGTAGCCTCATCTGGTCACGATGTTTTGCAAGACTGGCTCGCCCGGCCTGCCTACACCGGATCAGCCATTGCCCGAAGCCTTCGGTCTTGGCCAGGTCGATCCACCAGACAGGGGGGCCAACAGGTCTCAACGTGCATGGTATGTCCGGGTGGTTTCCCAACCAAAGCAGGGCTTGAACAAGCATGCAAGACCAGGAATCGGGGTCATCCTGGGCACCATCCAGTAAAGCAATCATTGCCTCAGAAGTGTGTTTCAGTATACCTGTGTCTTAGTCTGAGCTTCCTAAGCTCGAGCGCAAGCACTGCTGGGACGACCTTGGCCTCGAGATATAGCGAGGCACTATCCGAGCGATGCCTGGTTGTCTTGTCGTGGGTCATCCGACAGGCGCCCATGAGGGAAAGAGAAAACGGATGCTGGAGCTTAATTCTAGTTTTAACCAGCAATCGGGGCCAAGACGCACCACTATACAGGAGCTGGGAGAGACAGAGGGAGGAGGCGTACACCATCTTGGCCTCAATCGGGACCATCTGCTTCTTGAATACCGTTCACTTTAGCATGCCAAGTAGTCTCGATTTCTTGTGGCACCTGGACACTATTCCGACTGCAGCCCCCGCCCTGTCGTCTAAGACAGTACCCGTACCCAGGTGCACACGTACCCGAGTGATCACCAACCCGACCATGGGGAGAAACAACATGGCATTTGGGAGCATGGCGACCTCTTCCCGGGCCTTCCTAGAGCTGGGACCGCAGAGGAGGAGGATGGGCGTGGATGTTCCAGCCTTGCGGTTAGTAATTGTAAGACCTAGCGCGGCGGCCTCCTCATGAACCGTTTGAGCCAGGAAAAAAACATTAGCCTGACGAGGGACCCAACCATATGCAGGTGCGAGTACCGCAATAGTGATTCATTTTTTCGGTGGCGATCCCTATGAGGCAACGAACCGTGCTAGGGGCGTGCCGACATGAGTGGCGTGGTACACAAAGTGAACGAAAACGATTGATCTGAGTACGTAGGGAGACTGAGCGCGGGTGAATCTGCGCGCGTGCGTCTGACTGTGAATGATCTGCGTGCGAGCGAGTCTACGTGCATGAATGCGAATATGACAAAGCGTGGTGCAAATGTGTATGAATGCCAATAGTTTGACAACGACTGCCTCTGAATACTCGTGACGCTGGGCGTGGCCGCCGCAAGGAGCTTCCCCGGGACTCCCCGACGGCATCGCCCGCGCGCCGCGACGCCAATGTCGGCGCGCCCCCCCGCGAGGATCGCGCCCGCTTCCTCCCCTTCCTTTACTCCCTCTTTGCCCGCGCACTCAAAAGTCCAAGGCTGCGGGAGCAGCGCAGCGCGGAGCCCCCGCGACGCGCGCAGGTCACCCCGGAGGGGTCCCAGCGACGCGCGCGGGTCGTCCACTGCGCGGAGCGAAGAGAGCTAGCTGGCTGGCTGATAGCGGGCAAGGCTCTTGCCGCTGGGCAGAGCGACGACGGGCGAGCGAGGCGCTGGGCGGAACGCAGCACGGAGCCCCCGCGACGCGCGCAGGTCGCCCCGGAGGAGTCCCAGCGACGCGCGCGGGTCGCCCGCTGCGCGGAGCAAAGAGAGCTAGCTGGCTGGCTGGGACCTGCGGTGGGGCTCCATATGGGGCCACGTAACGCTGTACTGGGCAAAGGAGACGCATGTGGACTGCGCCACGGGGACCTTCGGTGGAGCTCCCTATGGGGCCACGAAACGTGTGAGGGATGTGCCGGATGGGTGTGCGGGACGCATGCGGGCACACCCACTGAGACCTTCGGTGGAGCTCCCTATGGGGCCACGAAACGTGTGAGGGGTGGGACGACATGTGTGTGCGGGACGCATGCGGGCACACCCACTGGGACCTTCGGTGGAGCTCCCTATGGGGCCACGAAACGTGTGAGGGGTGTGCCGAAATGGGTGTGCGGGACGCATGCGGGCACACCCACTGGGGCCTTCGGTGGAGCTCCCTATGGGGCCACGAAACGTGTGAGGGGTGTGCCGAAATGGGTGTGCGGGACGCATGCGGGCACACCCACTGGGACCTTCGGTGGAGCTCCCTATGGGGCCACGAAACGTGTGAGGGGTGGGCCGAAATGGGTGTGCGGGACGCATGCGGGCACACCCACTGGGACCTTCGGTGGAGCTCCCTATGGGGCCACGAAACGTGTGAGGGGTGTGCCGAAATGGGTGTGCGGGACGCATGCGGGCACACCCACTGGGACCTTCGGTGGAGCTCCCTATGGGGCCACGAAACGTGTGAAGGGTGTGCCAAAATGGGTGTGCGGGACGCATGCGGGCACACCCACTGGGACCTTCGGTGGAGCTCCCTATGGGGCCACGAAACGTGTGAGGGGTGTGCCGAAATGGGTGTGCGGGACGCATGCGGGCACACCCACTGGGACCTTCGGTGGAGCCCCTATGGGGCCACGAAACGTGTGAGGGTGTGCCGAAATGGGTGTGCGGGACGCATGCGGCACAGCACTGGGCCTTCGGTGGAGCTCCCTGTGGGGCCACGAAACGTGTGAGGGGTGTGCCGAAATGGGTGTGCGGGACGCATGCGGGGCAGCACTGGGGCCTTCGGTGGAGCTCCCTATGGGGCCACGAAACGTGTGAGGGGTGTGCCGAAATGGGTGTGCGGGACGCATGCGGGCACACCCACTGGGACCTTCGGTGGAGCTCCCTATGGGGCCACGAAGCGTGTGAGGGTGTGCCGAAATGAGTGTGCGGGACGCATGCGGCACACGCACTGGGACCTTCGGTGGAGCTCCCTATGGGGTCACGAAACGTGTGAGGGGTGTGCCGACATGGGTGGTGATAATGATGATGACGACAGATGATGATGACGATGACGATGATGGGGATGATGACGATGATGATGAAGATGGGAGGAGGGAGGGGGCAGCGGGAAGGAAGGAAGGAACGCGGGGCGACGTCTCTTCAAAACGAGGACCCAACACCACAGGATGGTTGGGAAAAATTGAAACACGTCAGAGACAAGCGTTGGGGATTTCGATGGCGCACATCGGGTCGCCCACATAGGCGGGGCCCCAGGGCCCAAACTCTCTGGAGACCGCATTCATGGGAAGAGAGCGGCATTTCGACTCGTGCTCGATAGTAACCGTTTGAAGCCCGTTAAGTTCTTGCAACCTCGCATTGACGGAAGCCTCTACTGGACAAAGAAGATCGAGTTGAACGGCAAATCCGCCAAAGGCATGCCCGGTCGAGTTCCTGGGGCGGGGGGCGACGACCCTATCAGAACCTCGCACCGAAACCAGTTGCAGGACATCGCATCCACGACTTGGGCCAGTAGACGCCTACCCTCCAGGCCGTTTGAAAACCCCGGAGGTTTTGACGACGGCCTCGGCCAGAAGGCGGAAGGGTTCTGAGACACCTTGCTGCTCGAGATAGGCGTTGAAATTGTCCTTCCGACTGCGCGACCTTAGAGATGAGAGCCTTAACGACAGAGTAAAGCGCCGACGCCAATTCTGTGAACAAGATAAGCAGGGAGCGCCCTTAGGATTTTGCCAGGCTCATCATGGATCTCACCTGCAGGCTAGCTAAGTCTGCACCCATCCCAGGAAGTTCTCCCTACTGAAACTCGGTAAGTCGATTGTTTCTCGCTTGCAACAACTTACACCCGAGTAAGGCGCGGTGCACCTTCGCCATGTGACAGCCTAGCATGATCCCTCTGCAGTTGTTCATCTCTCTGGCAGACCCCGACTTGAATGGATCCGTCTGCCATCCTCCTGTGAGCCCGAGGGGTTCCTGAGCAGAATTTGTTATTCAGCATGAGGCGTGGGGGAGGTCGGTGACTAGCTCGAGGTCTACCACCATGAGTTCTTGGGTAATACGATCAGCACCCACAGCCTGCTCAAGACTTCCCCTCTGCAAACCCTGCCTCAACGCCCTCTTCGGCATCAACATCTCAATATACCTGTCTGGTATGGGATCCAGTGTTGCGCACTCGTTGTGTTGTCCTGAAGACCTACCCAATCAATTACGTCTCATTTTTCCAAAGGCGGCAAATCGTTTCAACAATGCCTCAGACAGCTCAGCTCTAGACCCCACGGTGTGCCCGTGATCGTCGCACCTTCTCGGGAGGCCTGGCACTGCAACCGTGCCTGGCCGTCCTCCTCCTGCTTTTCCTCGGCATCATCAGCAGCAGCATCACTCACCACCTTCACTTTCTCCTCCCCCATGCACATGATTTCCGTCCCCCCCCCTCTACCCCCCCCCTCCTCCTCCTCCTCCGCCTCCTCTTTCTCTCTCCTCCCATCCTCCCCTCCTCCTCCTCCGCCTCCCCTCGCCCTCTCGCCCTCCTCCGCAGCCTTCGACTCGAGACCCCTGGCCCCGCGCCGACCTCTCCCCCCCGCCGGGAAGCAGCCATGCCGCTGCAGCGCCGCAGCGCCGCCTCCCTCGGCCTCGCGGCGGTCGCCCTCGCCTGCTGGCTCGCGGCCTCTGCCCACAGCGCGGGCTTCGCCGGGGCCCCCGCGCGCGGTGCGGGGCGCCCGCGGGCGGCGGCTGATGCCGCCACCGGCCTCCTCGGGGGCAGCGCTAGGGGGGGATAGGCTCAGGGGGAGGAGGGGGAGGAGGAGGAGGAGGAGGAGGAGGAGGAGGAGGAGGAGGAGGAGGAGGAGGAGGAGGAGGAGGAGGAGGAGAGGAGGAGGAGGAGGAGGAGGAGGAGGAGGAGAGTAGGAGGAGGAGGAGGGGAGGGAGGAGGGAGGAGGAGGGAGGAGGAGGAGAGAGGAGGAGGGGAGGAGGAGAGGAAGGCGGAGGGAGGAGGAGGAGGAGGAGGAGGAGGAGGAGGAGGAGGAGGAGGAGGAGGAGGGAGGAGGGAGGAGGAGGAGGAGGAGGGGGAGGAGGAGGAGAGGAGGGAGAGGAGGAGGAGGAGGAAGGAGGAGCAGGGAAGAGCAGGAGGAGGCAGTGGGGGAGCAGGCTAGGGGGGGGCAGCGCTAGGGGTGGGAGCGTCGAGCCTGGAATCGGCGACGCATCGCCGATGGATCGGCGGTGGGCCCCCGCGACAGCGGGGCCGCGCGTTCCTGGGCGGCGCGGGCCAGCAGGCCCCTCTCGGAGATGTCTCGCCGATTCCGGCGCAACGCTTCCCCCGCTGGAAGCGCTGCAGCCAAGACGCTGAAAAAAGGAGCCGCTCGGGTCGGGAAGGAGCTCGGTGTTCCTCAGGTCACCTCCGTGGCTCTATCTATGGCCCTCCTCGTGCACGCAGGCGGCTTCGGGGCCAAGAAGGGGCCCCGTTGCTCACTGATCGCTCCTTGCTTCAGCAACCCGACCGCAGCCACTCCCGAGCGTTGCCCTTCACCTCCGCGGCGCCCGCCCCGATGCTCCGGCGGGCGCGGCGGGCCCAGGCGAGCCGCCGCTGGCCGCGGCCGCGCGGCTGGCCGCGGCCGGCGCGGCAGCGCTCGGGCTGCTGGCCGGCGGGGGAGGCAAAGGTGCTGTCCAGTGGTGCCGCTGCGGGGGCGAAGAGAGGTGCACCTCTTGTGCCCCAGAGGTCACCAGCCTCGAACGTACCCTTGCCCCTAAGATTGACACGCCAGAAGGCGGTGACAGTCTTAGGGATGCGCCCTGAAAAACTGAGGGAATCCCTAAGATTGGCATTGTGATGAGGCAATGCCCAGCTTAGGGATAGGGACATGTTCCCGGCTGGCAAAGAGAGGCCTCCCAGGGGGCCCAACAGGGGCACGAGCGGAGCATGCTTCTCCTCCCCCCCCTGGTCGCCCTCCCACTCCTTGGCGGCGCGCACAGGGGGGTGGAGGGAGGGGGGAGGGCTTCTTGGGAGAAGGCTGCTTCTTGGAAGGCGCCGGCCTTACATCTACAGATAAGGCCCGCGCCTTCTCCTGGGGGGCCGTTGTCGTTGACACGACGGCCACAGGCATGCCCACGTCCTGAAAGAATCGCGGCGGGAGGCGTCGGGCCGCGTGGGGCCCCTGGGGGCCCTCGCTGAGCCCCGGGGCCGCCAGAAAAGTGCACGTGATGAAAAAAATGGCTCTGGGAGGAGGAGGAGGAGGAGGAGGAGGAGGAGGAGGAAGAGACGTACCGACCACAACGATGTCTAGTCAGGTCTGGGCCCTCTTGTTGCTTTCCTTGTTGTTTTTTTGCGCTGTGCTCCCGTTCTGCTGTTCGCTCCTGCTTTTTCCCTACCTAGGCTCTGCCTAGAAGGGTTCTTACTCTCTTAGCTTAAAGGGGCCGGGCAGTGCAAAGCGCCCCGGGCGGTTCCCCCAGTCCCCTGGGAGCGGTTCCCCCCAGTCCCCTGGGAGCTTTAGCTTTAGCTTTAGCTTAGCTTTAGCTTAGCTTTAGCTTAGCTGTAGCTTAGCTTTAGCTTATCGTTTCGCTTAGCTTGTCGCTTAGCGTTTAGCTTAGCTTTAGCTTAGCGTTTAGCTTAGCTTTAGCTTAGCTTTAGCTTAGCTGTAGCTTAGCTTTAGCTTAGCGTTAGCTTAGCTTTAGCTTAGCTTTAGCTTAGCTTTAGCTTAGCTGTAGCTTAAATTTAGCTTAGCTTTAGCTTAGCTTTAGCTTAGCTTTAATTTAGCTGTAGCTTAGCTGTAGCTTAGCTTTAGCTTAGTTTTAGCTTAACTTTAGCTTAGCTGTGGCTTAGCTTTAGCTTAAAGTTAGCTTAGCTTTAGCTTAGCTTTAGCTTAGCGTTACTGTTACTACTAATGCTGCTTTCCTAGGGGTTCCAACTCCTAGGTAGGGTCGCACTGGGATAATTTTCAACGCGATTGCAGGTGAAACGTTTTCTGCGCTCGTGTCGTTGTCCGTTCTGCGTCGCCGCGCCAGGCGAAACAGGACAGCGCACGTCTGGGGCCGAATTCCGAGCGCACCCCGGGGAGAGTCAGGAGGGAAATTATCCCAGTGCGACCCTACCTAGGAGTTGGAACCCCTAGGAAAGCAGCATTAGTAGTAACAGTAACGCTAAGCTAAAGCTAAGCTAAAGCGAAGCCACAGCTAAGCTAAAGTTAAGCTAAAGCTAAGCTAAAGCTAAGTTACAGCTAAGCTAAAGCTGAGCAACAGCTAAGCTAAAGCTAAGATAAAGCTAAGTTACAGCTAAGCTAAAGCTAAGCTAAAGCTAAGCTACAGCTAAGCTAAAGCTAAGCTAAAGCTAAGCTAAACGCTAAGCGAAAAGCTAAGCTCAAGCTAAGCTAAAGCTAAGCTACAGCTAAGCTAAAGCTAAGCTAAAGCTAAAGCTAAAGCTAAAGCTAAAGCTAAAGCTCCCAGGGGACTGGGGGGAACCGCTCCCAGGGGACTGGGGGAACCGCCCGGGGCGCTTTGCACTGCCCGGCCCCTTTAAGCTAAGAGAGTAAGAACCCTTCTAGGCAGAGCCTAGGTAGGGAAAACACACACAGACATCAGACACCATGAATCGTCGATTCCAAAACAAATTGGAAAATATGGGAAGTGGGGGAGAAGACAAAAACCCAGAAAGTAACGGAAAATGGTGAATCTTTTTACTCGTGTCTATTTATGTGTGTGTGTCCCAGGGCCCCTTCGGACGAGGACGAGGAGGAGGAGGAGGAGGAGGAGGAGGAGAGGAGGAGGAGGAGGAGGAGGAGGGGAGGAGGAGGAGAGGAGGAGGAAGGGAGGAGGAGGGGAAGGAGAGGAAGGGAGGAGAGGAGGGGAGGAGGAGGAGGAGGAGAGGAGGAGGAGGAGGAGGAGGAGGAGGAGGAGGAGGAGGAGGAGGGCCCCTTCAGAGAGGCCCGCGGCGCAGTGGTGCCGGCATCTCCCTCTGCCCCCCCGAGGCCGGAGCGCTGGCGGGGGCGGCCTCCCCCGCGCGTGCCGACGCCGCCCTCGTGGGCGAGATCCAGGCGTCGGGCCTGATCTTCAAGGCGGAGGGTTCCTCCGAAGGGCTTGGGCGACCCCTCCTCCTCCTCCTCCCTCCTCCTTCTCCTCCATCTCCTCTTCCATCTCCTCCTCCTCCTCCTCCTCCTCCCTCCCTCCTCCTCCTTCCTCATCTCCCATCTCCACCTCCCCCTCCTCCTCCTCCTCCTCCCCCTCCCCCTCCTCCACCTCCTCCTCCTCCTCCTCCTCGGGTCGCCTACGGTCCCGGGGGAAACCGTCCACTTCGAGGACACCATCAATGTGCAGGCGATCACCGACCCGAAGGTGTCCGGCGTGACCATCTACCAGTCGGATTTTGCCAAGTCTGGCTTCGACAAGCTGAAGTCCGGCGACTTCTTCTCGGACCCTGGGGCCTCGGGGCTGTCTTGCATCGGCACCCCTGGCAAGGTGATGGTCGCTGCCAACATCTCCAAGGATAAGGGCGGAGAGGTGGTCTACGAGGAGTCGAAGGCGCTCTTGGGCAAGACTCTCAAGGTGAAGCGGGTATACGACGAGAAGAACAAGAACGTCGTGTATGTCGTTTACACAGAGCGCCTGAACAAGGACGAAGACAAGAACAACAGCCGGTTCAAGAGCCAGGTTTGTGCCATCCACGTGGACGGTGTCCAGTAGTGAGTAGAGGGGAACCTCTTCGTAACAAAAGGGGAAGGAGGAGGGCGATGAGGAGGAGGAGGAGGAGGAGGAGGGAGAACTAAGAATAAGAAGAAGAGGAAGAAGAGGAGGTGTTGGAGGATGAGGAGGAAGGGAATGGGTAGGGAGGGGCCCCCGTCGCAATCCGTCTCCTTCGTCCCTTCCTCCTGCAATTCTTGCTCCTGCTCCTCGTCCTCCTGCTCCTTCCACTCCTCAACCTCCACGGAATGCAGGGCCTGGAACCCTTCCCCCCACGGGCCCGCTGCCGCTGCTCGGTGCCTCCCGTCCGTCCCTGAGCGCACGCGCGCGAGTGGGGGCGACGCCGGGCGGCCCACGCCCTCGCTGCCGGGGCCTGCAGCGACGCTCTCCAGGACCAAGAGCCGCATCAACACGAACTTTCGGAGGCCCGCGCGGAGTTGTTTTGGGCCGCGCTGGGCCCCCCTCCCCACGCCCATTGGCGGCACACGTGGCGCCGCCTCCAGCGCGCTCCGCGCGCCTGGGAAGAGGTGTGTGGGGAGAGGGGCCCGGCGCCAGCCCCCCGCGCGGGCCTCTGGAGGCCCGTGTCCGTGCCGTCTGCTGGCCCTTTTGTGGATCGCGTCGTGCCCAGGTCTTCTCTACAGAGCGATGTTTTCAGATTTTCTTTGCTCCGCGTTGGCGGAGCTGCTCGGCTCGTGCATAGTCAGAGCGAGTCGTTGACCACAGAGACAAGGGAAGGGCGGGGCTGGGCAGAACGAGCAAGAGGAGGAGGAGTGGGAGGAGGGGATGGATACCGGAGAAGGAGGAGGAGGAGGAGGAGGAGGAGGGGAAGGGGAGGAAGTGGAGGAGGAGAAGGAGGAGGCGGAGGAGGAGGAGGAGGAGCCGCAGCAGTAGCACCAGCAACAGGAGCGGGAAGAGGGGGAGGAGGAGGAGGAGGAGGAAGAGGAGGAGGAGGAGGAGCAGGAGGAGGAGGAGACGAAAAAGGAGGAGGGGGAGGAGGATGAGGAGAAGAAGAAGGAGGAGCATGTTTTTTCCGCGCGAGCACGTCAAACCATGGTTCACAACGGGCGCCACTCGGGGCCTCAGGGCCGTCTAGACCTTCGATCAGATCTTTGTGCCGAGTCGCCGACCGCCAGAACACTCGACCCCTTCCCCGGGACTGGCGTTTCGCTCGAAGTCGTTTTCTGACGGTCGGGGGCCAAGAAACGGCCTTCATCGTAGAATATGAAAAAGAAGAGGAAGCAGAAGAAGACGAAGAAGAAGAAATTGCATAAACACGACCGTTCTGAGGTCCGCGCGGATTTCTTGGACCAGCGCTGGACCCCCTCCCTGGCACGGGGAGCGCGCCAGGGGCGGCGCCGGAGCCTCCGTCGGGTTCCAGTGCCAGTCCAGGAACTCCGCACGGACCTCCGAAAGTGTATGTTTGTGTAGTTTGTTTTTTTTCTGTCCTCAGGGGCGTCGACAGGGGGGACGATGATGAGACCAATCGCGAAGCGAAGTTATGAATTCTACACCCCGAGCAGCCTTCTCAGCCTTGCTGTGAACTTTGGCCCAAAGGTTCCTGGAGACATGCCCGCCGAGTGCGAGTCCGTGGGGTATTGGGGAAGCCGCAAGGATCAGACAACCCCCTTGTGAGCTACTGGAAGAGAACTTGCCACATGACTTACAGTCAACCCGCATAGTAAGGATGGGCAACCTTCCCAAGGGTACCCTGGCATCCTTGCCCGTTCGGCCCCACCCTTGGCCACTTTCGTCTGCCGCGCCCCGCTCGAAAAGCTTCGAAATGGGCGTCCAAGGCCCTTGCATCCTTGTCGCGCATCCTTACTATCCGGGTTGACTGTACAGCACCAAACATCGGCTCCCAGTCGCCCAGGCATCGCCAAGCGGGGCTTGGGCGCCCCGCCCCGCCCAGCAGCGCGCGGCTCTCCGCTGCCGCGCATCGAGGGCCTGCCGGGGGCCTGCCAGGGAGGCCCCTCCAGGAGGGGCACCGCTGGCAGAACTGCGGGGGGGCCCTCCCCAGAGGGGCACCGAGGGCCCCTGCTCCCGTTTTAGGCTCAGAGTCGGAGGTGGATAGACCTTCTACTCTGACACGTCGATTGGCGAATTGGCCGTTTTCAGTTCGCGAGAGGGCGTCGCGGCCGCTATTTTTGCGGGTCCAGGTCCGTCGGTTTTGGTCTTAGGCCGCTTTCACTAAGGGGTGGTTTACTAAAGGGAGGTTCGTCCACCGCCGAGTCTTAAGCCTCCCAGGTCTTCCAGCAGTCGAGAGCCTGGACAGCTGTCGCGGGTCTATCCACAGGGGACAGCTGTCGCAGGTCTGCCGGCGATGCCCCTCTGAACGGCCACCCCCGAAACCGAAAATGGTCGAGCAGCCTCTGGCGCGATGCTGCTCGAGCCGCTAGATCGGGAGAGGCGCACCTGCGGCAGCTGCGGAAAGCCTCGGGGGGGGGGGGGGGGCAAGGCGGGCCCTCCCACCCGCAGCCCGACGCCGATGGGCGAGCTCGAGACGCCTCCCCCTCCTCCTCCACCTCCTCCTGCTCCTCCTCCTCCTCCTCCTCCTCCTCTCCTCCTCCTCCTCCTCCACCTTCCCTCCTCCTCCTCCTCCTCCTCCTCCTCCTCCTCCTCCTCTTCCACCTCCTCCTCCATCCCGTTTTTCTTTATGGCCACATAGTTCCGCCGCGTCGCACCCCGAGACGTGACAGTAGGGCGGGCCGGGCGTCTCACCCGAGTTTTCCTCACCACTTACGATCCTTAAGCTTAGAATGTGCAACAGCTTCGCGGATGGACGGCGGGTGGTTTTCAATTTTGGTTATCGCCTTAGCGCCGCGCGCATTCATTCGTCTACAAAGCTTGCAAGAGCTTCACGGATGGAGGACGGGTCGTTTTCAAAATTGTTTGGTTTTCGCCTTAGTGCAGCGCACCATCGCTCTTAAAATGTGTAAGAGCTTCACGGTTTGAGGGCGGGTAGCTTGCGAAATGTGGTTCTCGCCTTCGCGCCCTGCACACTCGGGTTAAATTGTTGCAAGAGTTTCACTGATGGAGGGCGGTACCTTTTCGACATGTGGCTATCGCCGTAGTGCCGCGCACAGCCGTGTTACGGAGTCTCGTGGACGACGTGACGTGCCAGAAATGGTGTTTTGGTACGATGTAGACTTGTCAAGGCATAACTGTCACGTTGGTTCGCCGTGTTGATGTCCCAGGAATGGTGTTCTGGCACAGCTCAGGATTTTCAGACGGTTGTCTCCCAACTGAGTGGCATTGGATTGTTGTAGGGATTATTGAAGAGAGAACTTGGAAGGAGGCTATATTGCAACATCGTTGTTGCGTCTTGGGCTGACATTGGTCCTCCCCTTCCTCCTCCATCCTGCCTCCCGCTTCATTGCTCCCTTCCTCATTCAGGAGGGGAAAAACACACAGACACAATTAATCGTCCAGGAAAAAATGGGAAAATATGGGAAGTGGGGGGCCAGACGAAAACCCAGAAAATATAAGAAAATATGGGGAATCATTTTGTTTGTGTGTATTTATTTGTGTGTGTCCCAGGGCCGCCCCTTCACCCAACATCTCACTCCTCCATCTTCCCTCCATCTTCCCTCGCCTTCACCGACCCCTCCTCCTCCCTCCTCCTCCTCCTCCTCCTCCTCCCTCCTCCTCCTCCTCCTCCTCCTCCTCCTCCTCCTCCTCCCCCTCTCACTCCACCTCCACTCATCCTCCTCCTCCTCCTCCTCCTCCTCCCTCCTCCTCCCTCCTCCTCCTCCTCCCTCCTCCTCCTCCTCCCCCCCTCCTCCTCATCCTCCTCCTCCCACCCCACCTCCCTCCTCCTCTCCTCCTCCTCCTCCTCCCCTCCTCCTTCCTCCTCCTCCTCCTCCTTCTCCTCCTCCTCCTCCTCCTCCTCCTCCTCCTCCTCCTCCTCCTCCTCCTCCTCCTCTCGCGAGGGAGTCCCCCCGAGGCGGGCACCTCTCCGGACCGCGGCCGCGCCATCTCGCGCTGGTTTGAGTCGGGCCTGTCCCTCTACAGGGGGAATATTCAAAACTAGTCCAAAATTAGTCTGGGGACGATTTTTTGGACATGTTTGGCCATTTGGGGATATTTTTCGACTATTTTAAATTTTTCCTCGAAAATCCTCCTGTAGGGGGACAGGCCGCGCCATCTCGTAGAGATGGACGATTCCCAGGAGGGAAAAAGCACACAGACAGAAATAATCGCTGATTCTCCCGAAAATATACGAAAATATCGGAAATCCTTCTATTTGTGTGTATTTATTTGTGTGTCCCAGGGCCCCTTCACTCGTCCCTCCTCCTCCTCCCCCTGCTCCCTCCATCTTCCCTCGCCCGCGCACGAGAGTCCGCACGGGGGTGTCGGGGAACGAAGGCGAGGGTCAGCCCTCGCGAGGGAGTCCCCCCGAATCGGGCACCTCTCCGGACCGAGGCCGCGCCATCTCGCGTTGATGGACGATTCCCAGGATGGAAAAAACACACAGACACAAATAATCGTTGATTCCCCAGGAAATATGTGAAAATATAGGAAGTGGGGGGGAGACGAAAACCCAGAAAATATAGGGAAATATGATGGATCCCCTTATTTGTGTCTATTTATTTGTGTGTCTGGGCCCCCTCAGATTCCCCCCCCCGCTTGGATGCGGCGCTTGCGTTGGAAAAAGTTGCGGCTGGCCGGACAGCCCCCGTTAGCTCCGATTTTCGCCCATGTCTTGCCGACACGGATGCCAGCGGGGACACCACGGCCACTCGTCATCCTCGTCCCCATCCTCCTCCCCATCGTTTTCATCTCTGCCTCCTTCTTCCTCCTCCCCTTCTCTGCGGACCAAGACCTCCGACGGTCCCGACACGTTCCATGTGCCAGGTCCTCCTTCCTCTTGACTACGTTTAAGTCGGGCCTGTCCCTCTACAGGGGGGAATATTCAAAAATAATCAAAAAATAGTCTGGGGATTATTGTTTTAGTATTGTTGGGCATCTTTGGAGTATTTTTGAGTATTTTTTATCTTTCGTCCAAAATCCCCCTGCATGGGGGACAGGCCCGACCTAAGACTACGTCCCTCGGGACCGTCTCTACGTCCTGGACCATCCTTCGGCGGCCCCAGGGCTAAAAGCTGGCCCTCGGAGGCCCGAAACTTAGAAAACCGGCCGTCTCGTTTTTTCTTTGTGGCGATGGAAGTCTGAAGACGCCGCTGACCGCGACAACAGAAACGACAAAGGCGACGACGACGACAACGACGACAGACGGCGACGATGAAAACTACAAATGCGACGATGGGCGACGACGGCAAAGACGACGATAGCGACGACGACCATATTTGCAAACGTGTGATCCCAAAGGCAGTTGTGATTTTCATGTGTTTCCCCCCCTCCCTTGTACCCTCCCGCTCAGTCTATGAACCAACCCCCTTTCGGGGGAGGCTCTTTTCATACCAGCTCCTGGCAGAAGCAATCCGCAGTGCACTCCGTGTGCGCATCGCGCCGTCATGGCCGTAATGCGAGCTAACAAGCCCGCGGGCAATTCGCCAACGCAGGAGGTCGCAGGCGAGAAACGGCGCTCGTGTGCTCCTGTGTTTGGGGGTCTCTCTGGCCAGCGCGTCTCGGAGTAAACTGTGAGGAAGTATCGAGAGGGAGCCGATGTCGTCGCAGGTGGAGGTGGGCCTTTGCGAACTTGATCGGATTGCCAGGAAGTGTCGGGAGAGAGCGCCGTTCCTCAGTTTTTCGGGGCCTCTCTCGCCAGAGCGTCTCAGAGTAAAGTGTAAGGAAGTGTCGATCGGGAGCCGTTGTCGTCGCAGCTGGGCCGTTACTAACTTGATTGGATTGCGCGGAAGTCTGCAGCGAAAGTGCCGTTCCTGTGTTTGGGGGCCTCTCTGGCCAGGGCAGCTCGGAGTAAATTGTGAGGGCGTATCGATCGGAAGCCGTTGTCGTCGTAGCTGGGCTGTTATTAATTTGATTGAATTGTGCGGAAGTCTTCAGCGAGAGTACCGTTCCTGTGTTTGGGGGCCTCTCTGGCCAGGGCGGCTCGAAGTAAATTGTGAGGAGGTATCGAGCGGGAGCTCTTGCCGTCGTAGTTGGGCCCTTCAGGGGACCACATTTGGAATGAAGCCCGCGCTCGAGCGGGAGCCTCGGTTTTGCAGCCGGCGTCGAGGCGAGAGCGCCCATAACCGTGTCCATAAATGAGCAATAGATTCCGCTTGAGATGGGTATGCGACGACGACGACGACGAAGACGACAAAGACGAAGAAGACGACGAAGACGACGACGACGATAACGACTACGATAACAACGACGACGACGACGAATGCGACGGCGACGACGACGACGACCGCGACGACGACGACCACTACGACGAATGCAACGGCGACGACGATGACCACGACGACGACGACCACGACGACGACGATGACCACGGCGACGACCATGACGACGACGACGACGACGACGACGACGACGACGACGACGACGACGACGACGATGGCCGCGGCGGCGGCGACGACGATGACGCGACGACGACGACGACGAAGACGACGACGATCACGACGATCACGACGACGACGACGAAGACGACGACGACGACGACGAAGACGACGACGACCACGACGACCATGACGACGGCCACGACGACGACGACGACGACGACGACGACCACGAGGACGACGACGACGACGATGACGACGACGACGACGACGACGACGACAACGGCGGCGACGGCAGCGGCGGCGGCGGTGAAGATTGCGATTTCCTGCCGCAACCGAGGAGTTCCTGCTCCGCTGGGGCCACCCCCTGGCCATGGGCACGGTGTTGCTGGCCATGGGCGGGCGCGCCCAGGGGGGCCAACTGCCAGCCCCGACGGCCCCTCTTCCTCGTCATCGCCTCGTCCGCGTCCTCCCCCCGTGTTCCTTCTCTTGCTCCGCTTCCTCCCCCCCTCCGTCTCCACGCAACGGGGGAGTCGAGGATTTAGCTCATTCCCCGAAACGTGCTCGCGCCCTGGGGGTCACACTCTTCTTCCTGGGCAATTGGCGTGCGCGTTGGGATGTTCGCCTGGCCGCCGCCCCCGACGCCGCCCCGTGCGCTGGCCTGCGCCTCCGAGCTCTCGCCGGGCCGCCGCTCGTGCCGCCCGTCGCCGCCCCGCGGGCTTGTCGTGGCCGCCCTGTGACCGCCCATCGCCGCCTTCGTCGCCGCCCCGTGCGCTTTGCGCCACCGCCTCGTCCCCATCGCCGCCTCGTCGCCGCCCATCGCCGCCCCGTCCCCATCGCCGCCTCGTCGCCGCTTGAACCACACGGCTTCCACCACGCAGCTCGCACCGCGTAGCTCTCACCACGTAGCCTGCACCACGCACCCTAGACCACCCAGTCTGCACTTCCACGGGGCAGCGAGCAGTTTTGTACGGGGGCCCACTGCCCACGCTGGCAGACATTGAGCGTCACCTGCCCTTTTTCTCAAGCCTCTGAAAACCTCTAAAGAGCCCACCTTATTCTTCAACTCTCGCTCGCATCATCTTCGTCCTCCGCTTCTTGTACCGATCTTGTCTCCTCCGGCTCGGCATCATTCTCCCTTTTCGTTACTTTGTTCCCGGCTTCTACTCCCCCTCCCCCTCTTCTTCCCCCTCGTCGTCCTCATCTCATCCGCCTGCTTCTGTTGCCCCTCAGCCTTCTTCACCCTTTCCTCATCCTCCTCACCTTCCTCCCCAGTCCCAACACACAGGGGAGAGAGGAGGAGAGATGAGGAAAAGGAGGAGGAGGAGGAAGAGGAACAAGAGGCGCAGGAGACGAAGGAGAGACCAGAATAGACTCAAGATGCATCAGCGATGCTGCAGTACACCCGTACCAAGCCCCCCCCCATACGTCCCGATAATCTTCCCTTGTCGCTACACGAAGCGTCCCACTTTTTGAAAGACGGGCACCACATTGGCTTGCCAATGTTGCGAGGCCCCAGTTCAAAAAAAGAAATTGGTTGGCGTCTTTCTGGTCGACCGCACAAGTCAACGAAATCTCCTAGAAGACTTCCCTTCGAAAAGTGACCTCCCCCCATCCGTGTAACTGCTGCACAAGCTTACACTTGTGGCCTTGAGCTTCGAGGGAGTCTCGAGCGAGGTCTCAATTTTGAATAAAAGGAGCCGACCTCGACCCGTGCAACGGTACGTTAACCGTCTGCCTTCAAAGTTAAGGAAAGCACACGTTATACTCCCATTATGGAAGAGAACCATCCTCCATGTTCTAAGTGCCACAAGGTGTTCAGAAACATGCTCGTGCCGCCAAGGTGGGAACCCCATGTTGAAAACGACGCATGCTTCCTCCTTCAATGTGTTGCAGACTTGTACAGCGAATGTGCGCGGCGTGAAAGCTATAGCCCCGCTTTGAAAATGGGCCGCCCCACTACCCTGGAACTGCTCCATTTCCTTTCAAGACGACTGCGCGCGGCGCTAAAGCGAGAGCCCCATCTTGAAAGCACGCGCCCACCGCTTCTTGAAGCTGCTGCAATGTGCTACAAGAATGGGCACGTCGTTCAGGCGAGAGCCATTGTCCGAGAAGGAGCCGCCCCCCATCATTGGAGTTGCTGCAAACGGTTAAGACGAATGCGCGCGGCGCGAGTGCGAGAGCCACACTTGGAAAAACGCCCCCCTCCATCCTTGAAGCTGCTGTGAGCTGCTATGACGAATTCGAGCAGCGCACAAGCCAAGCCACACATCGAAACCGATCCGCACTTCATCCTGGAAGCTGTTGCAAATGTCAGGCTTCAAGGCAATACGCGGTGAGGAAGTCTCAGGGGAAACGCCCAGCCCGCTTGATTGACACGTCTCGGGAACGAGGGTGAAGAGGGAAGGAGTGAGCATCGGGGGGAGGGCGAGGGGGAGGAGGGAGGGAGAAAGGAAGAAGACCAAGAAGAAGGAACGAGGAGGAGGAGGAGGAAGAGGGAGGACGGAGGACGGAGGAGAGAGGAGAGGACGGGGGATGGAGGAGAAAGGAGGAGAGGGAGGAGGGGGGGAGGGAGGAGGAAAGGAGGGCAGAGGGAGGAGGAGTGAGTCCTCCGAGGTGGAGGTCGGGACTGTCCCAGGCTCCCCCTTGTCACGGCGCGTTCCTCGGCTCATCGTGGTCTTCCTCGCCTTGACCTTGTTCACCTTCATCAGGTTTCTCCTTCTCCTGCTCGTCTTCCTCTTCGTGGCCACCATCACATCAGCCGCAGCAGCAGCATCGCCGTCTCCGTGCTCCCCCCTCTGGGCGGAGGTCGTCGGGACTGTCCCGAACGCCCACCCCCCGCTCCCAGGTACGGCACGTTCCTCGGCTGGACGACGCGCTTCGGCAACGGCGAGGCGGTGTACCCCCTCAATCTAGGCTACAAGAACTCCGACCTGCACGTGCTCCTCATGGGCGGCCCCAGGGCAATTGCTAGGGGGCGTTTGGGGTCGGTCATCCTGCTCCTCCTCCGGATCCTCCTCCTCCTCCTCCTGATCCTCCTCCTCCTCCTGATCCTCCTCCTCCTTCTCCTGATCCTCCTTCTCCTCCTCCTCCTGATTATCCTCCTCATCCTCCTCCTCCTCCTCCTCCTGATCCTCCTCCTCCTCCTCCTCCTCCTCCTCCTCCTCCTCCTCCTCCTCCTCCTCCCAGACGGGGGGGGTGGTGTATGGAGCGGGGGATGAGCGGGGTGTTCCTCTTGCCCTTCTCCATGCGCCCCAGCTTCCACACCTGACGAAATGCCCAATCAATCCTCATCCTCCTCCAGACATCCGACGTCCTGAAAGAATTGCGACGACCAGTTTCCTACGACAGCGGCATGTTTTCGGTCCCCGGGGGGGGCGTCGACGGGTTATCCAGGAAGCAACGCGGCCGCGGGGAAAGATACCCCGTATCTCAACTTCCTCCTCCTGCCGCCTTTCCTCCTTCTTCCTCCTTCGCGTCCTGTTCCTCCTCCTTCTCATCCTTCTCCTCCTTTTCCTCCTCCTCCTCCTCCTTCCAGAGCCATTTTGGATCAAGTGCCAATCCCGCTCGCGCGGAGCCCCGGGACCCGAGCGGCGACTCTGCAGGCGCGGAGGCCATGTTTTGTTGATGCAGCTCTTTACTGCATTCGTGTCCACATTCTTCCACACTGCTTTCGCGGTGATGCTCACGGCCTCCGGTGGTACACCCCGGCCGACCCTTGCTGCAAGCGCAGCGATAACGTCCTCTGCTTCCTCACGTCGTTCACCGAACCTTCTTCGTCCCCGCGGTCGCCGAGCGCTCGCCGCACTTGATGCTCGCCGTCGACGTGCCGTTGAAACGGGACTCCTCCGCCCTCGTGCTGGTCCTGACCTCGTTCGTGTTGCTGTCTCTGCTGCAGTCGCCCGCGAGTCGAAGATCCTGGCTCTGGCGACGGACAACGCGCGCAAGCTCGAGGCCAAGACTGGGTCCCACCGAGCGCAATGGCTCCGAGCTCTGCGCGGCGGCCTCCGCTGGCGGCCACCTCACCCCACAGGCAACACCGCTCGCCACAAACGCTGGGCGCCAACACCACGGCCCACCTCCTCGAGCACCCCAGCGTCTTCGTCGGCGACTGCCACACTGCCCTCGCCAGCCAAGCGCTTTCCTGGGAGGACACCTGCGACGGCAACTTCCCTGCGCTGCGCCCGCTGGCCGCGGCCTCGCCTCTGCCAAAGTGCAACGTGGAAAATTCGATGAGTGATCCACGTTCCACCCATCCAGGTGCGTCCGACCAGCCCGAGTCCTCCGTCACGCGCCAGACCGTCTACGCCGACTCAGTCGCGACTGCCACGCATACGCAGCTCGATGCGAAAATCCTGGGAACTGTGAACTCGCCCGCCGCGGAGTCCGACAGCAACTCCATCGAGGCCAATTCCAAGTACGTCACGCTCGACATGCTCACGGTGCAGCTGACCTCCATCACCAAGCTGCTGGTGGACAAAAACGCGAAGTCCTTGAGGACCACCACCTGCAAGCTGCACTCAATGCTGCAGCTCGCCCACTCGTCCCGCGACGCGGCGACGCACAAGCACGTCGCAGAGCTCGAGGTGGCCATGCAAGCGGGGGCCGCGAGACTCACGACGCCAGGCGCGTCGGGCTCGAGCAGGGGATGCTCTCGCACACGTCCCCCTCCGCGGCGTCGCACAGGCGCCCGAAAGAGCTTGAGCTGACCATGCAGTCGGCCAGCACGACATCCAACACCACGACTGGCCGCTGGCAACGGGGTACCACCCACGGCCCCCGGCATTGGAGCAGATGTTCACTCAATTCGCTGGCGCTGATTGTCAACAGCATGCGCCGTGAGATCATGGAAGCGTTCGACCAGCGGGCGCCCGGCCTCGACAACGACATCGATGAGTTGCAGCAGCAGACCTCCACCGAGGAGCACGTCCAGCACCTGCAAGGTCACGAGCCGACCGTTGACAACTATGACGGCTCGGCCCACTTCGACAGTTACTTCGACACCCTTTTGTCGAATATCAGAGAACGCGACTGCTGCCTCGACTTCGAGACAAAATGAACTCGCAGGACCCACTCGTTGAGCCCGACACGCTGAGCGAGTCCGACGAGCTCACGCTGAGCGAGACCGACGCGCTGTTGTACGACGAGATGTTCTTACCGAATGGCCCTGCCCTTCAACCTCCTCGTGGTCACAGGCCGACCGATGTTTGCTGGACTCTTTCGCCCTCGCTGCCACCTGCGGCGTCTTCACCACCACGCACTACTTCTCCGCACCCCATTGCTGAGCAACTGATCTTGGTGGAGCAGCGTCAGAGGGTAGCTTCGTCACCAGTGAAGACTTCAAAGAGTTCGGCGCGTCCGACTTCCTCCACTGAGGCGGTTCCGATTGCAAGGCCTGCGACGTCTTGCCATGAGGCCCAGCTTCCGTTGCCCACGCTAATGCCCCGAAGTGATTCGCGCCCCCCTGGGCACTCCCACTCCTCACCATCATCATCATCATCATCATCATCATCATCATCATCATCATCCTCCTCATTGTCCTTCTCCTCCTCCTCCTCCCCTCCTCCTCCTCCTCCTCCTCCTCCTCGTCATCATCATGTTATGATTCATCTTCGTCATCGTCGTCAGCGTAATCATCGTCAGATTGCGATTCTCCTTCACTACCGTCATCACAGCATCGTCATCATCGTCAGGGTCATCATCATCAGCAGCAGCATCATCATCGTCATCAGCACCAGTATAAGCATCATCACCATCGTCCGCGGGCGCTTCAGCGGAAAGTGGGTGCCAGTGATGGCGTTCCAGCTCTCTACCCCGGCCAGCGCTGCTGCGCGCGTCGCTGAGGGCTTAGGTCAGGGAGTTCGTCCGCGGGCTTCCGGGCACAACGCGTCAGCGCTGTGGTCGCTCACGAGGGCACCTCCGCCGGCGAGGGGTTGGGGTCATTGCGGCGCGATGCTTCCGCGCCGTCGGGAGGTTATGGTGGAGGTCGACGCGCGCAAGCCAGGACGGTGGAAATGGTCGAGGCACGCAAGCCAGGAATGCCCGAGGACATGGTCGAAGGAGCAGGCCATGCTTCGAGTGCGTGCCGCCAGTCGTTCGACCGCCTTCGCAACCATACGAGAGAGGTGGTGGGGTGGTGCCCGAGATGTGGAGGAGACACTGGGTCGACCCTCCAATCGGGAGCGGAAAAGAGGGGGGTGATGACTAGGGGGGGGGGGGGATTTCATGGCGCGGCCCATGATTTTTCCTCTGATTTCATGGCGCCTCTTCTTATTTCATTACGTCCCAGGCCCACCCGCTGGGCCGCGCAAATGCCGCCGGTTATGATTTGCACCCCCCCCTCTTGGACACCCCCCTCTTTGCCGCCCCCGATCCAACGCATCAGAGTTTCGATGACGGCGCGCTCGAAGGATTCCTCGTCGCGCCGAGCCGGCTGGCTGGCGAAGCCCACAACGACGGTAGGTGCAGCAGCGGCAGCGGCGTGCATGAGCACGTAGATGTCTATGGTTGTGTAGCGAGGAGGCGCCATTGGTGACGAAAAAACGACATTGAAATTATACCGGAAGAATCGGGAGCCTTGAAACGGGGGTCAATGCGAACGAGGATCAGCCAGAGCGCCAGATCGCACAGGATCTTGCAAAGCCAGGCGTGCATTGACCCAGGCCAGCGCGCAGGATTCTGTAGGATCTTCCAGGATCTGGCAGGATGCTGCAAAGCTTGACTATCCAGGGTTTGCATTGATCCGGGCCAGTAGAAGCCCGAACGACGGCCTACGGCTTCATCCAGCCATTGGGGTTATGGCCCATGTTAGCTCACCGAGCGAAAAGCGATTGGCTCGCAGCCTTCGTCCGCGGCGATCTTGTGCACGATGAGCTGTTGTGGGACGGCATTTCGGTCAAGCACGGAGAGGTACCTCGGCTTCGACCCGTATTGGCCGTCGTTGTCGTCAGCGCCATCGTCAGCGCCAGCTTCGATCAGGCCGTCAACACCCGCGATGGGACGGGCAGTTCTTTAGAGGGAGGCCCCCACAAGGTTGTTAGGAATCAAGAAGAGCTACGACATGAATGACACACGAGAAAAGGGTGGGAAGTTTGGAGTGCCCAGCAGCGTCGTGGTGTCCCCGTGCCTGTATCCGACCGTGGCCCCTTCCCGCAAGGCTGGGACGCGAAGCAGCTCAGGGACGCGTCGGAGGGGGTTGGGAGCTTCCTACGCCGTTTTCAAGACACAGGAGGGGGGGCATCTGACTCACAGGCACTTGAAGAGGGCCACGCGCCCTGTGATGCAACAGCACCGCGCGCTAAACGGCGGGGCTTCCGAGGAGCCTTCGAAAGTGGTGGCAGTTGCGCACTTCGTAGCCCCCCCAAGGATCCGCGAGGTCTCAAACGGGTCCGCCTGATTACTCATGCCGCTGGGCTTCCCAGGGGCCCATGAAAATGGCGACAGTCGCGCAGTTGGCAGCATCCACGGGAGCCGCGGGGTTTCAAACGGGTCCGAGTGACTACCCGCCCCATTGGATTTCCCTGAAGCCCACGAAAGTGGCGACGGTCGCGCAGTTCGCAGCCCCCCAGGGAGCCGCGAGGTCTCAAAGGGGTCCGCTCTTTCACACGGGTCCGCGTGATTACCCACTCCGCTGGGCCCCCAAAGGGCCCACGAAAATGGTGACAGTTGTTCAGTTCGCAGCACCCCCAAGTAGGGAAAGCACGGGGAAGGGAGGCGATGGGGGGAGGAGGGTGGGAGAGAGGAGGAGGAGGAGGAGGAGGAGGAGGAGGAGGAGGAGGAGGAGGAGGAGGAGGAGCAGGAGCAGGAGCAGGAGGAGGAGGAGGCTGGAGCAAGCTATGATCTGTTCCAAAACGACAACCCAAGGTGGGACAAATAACACATTCTTGGCGCATGGCGCGCGAGAGGACGCGGGGCGAGGCTTCGGTGGCCATGATTCGCTTCAGAAGTCCAGAGGCCACGTCGTGTCTGCTGAGCTACGGAAGGGGGGGCTCGATGACATACTACTGTTTGAATGCGCCCCCTTCAAGGGAAGGCGGCCCCTGTTCGGGATGCAGTCCGAGAGTCCTGTGGCTGCTTGGAGTTCGGGTTCCGAACAAGGAAAAGATGTGCTGGATGCGAGTTTCGTCGGATGCCTCACCGAGACAGAAACCGCATCGAGGGAGTATGGTTAAGTCGGGTCTGTCCCTCTACAGGAGGAAAAAGTTTGGGCACGATGTTGCTGGCTACGCTTGAACATGTTTGAATTTCTTGTGGGGTAGTTTCGATCTTCCGTCCAAACTCCGCCTGTAGGGGGACGTGCCCGACCTGAGAGTATGGTGTGTTGACTTCCCGACGGCCTTGACAACGGCCCGCGCCGCTGCGCCGGCCGCGGGCCTTTTGCCCACACTGCAGAGGCGCGCCACGCGGCACGGCACGGCGACCACGGGGCCGACCCGCGGGGAGACGGCGCAGAGGTGCTCGTGGAGGGCTTCTCCGAAGGGGCTTGGGCGACCCGTCCTCCTCCTCCTCCTCCTCCTCCTCCTCCTCCTCCTCCTCCTCCTCCTCCTCCTCCTCCTCTCTCCTCCTCCTCCTCCTCCTCCTCCTCCTCCGCCTCCTCCTCCTCCTCCTCCGCCTCCAGCTCCGGCCCGGCCCACCGCCCATCGTGCCAGCAGGGCGGGCTGTGGGCAGCCCGCTCGGGCTGCCCCCCCACTTCTTAGGAGATCGCCGAGCGCGCTCCGCGGCTCGCAGAGTGCCTGCTCCGCAGACGCCCGACAAAACTCGGGGGCGAGTTCCCAGAGAGCCGACGCTCCAAGAAATTTTGAGCAGCGGGGCTTTGGCCGTTTTCGGCCTCTGGGGGCCCTCGCCGGGGCTCGGGAGCGTCAAAAAATAACTCGGGGTGAAAAACTGGTCCCGGGGAAGTGGTCTGGACCTCCGGGGTCCACGCACCAACAAAATTGCAGCAGCCGGATGTCTGGGTTGAGCCGAGGGCAACGGTCATCGGGGGTGGATAGACCTCCTGCCCTGACACGTCGATTAGTGAATCGGCCGTCTTCAGTTCGCGAGAGGGCATCGCGGCCGTCATTTTTGCGGGTCCAGGTCCGTCGGTTTCGGTCTTAGGCCGTTTTCACTCAGGGGAGGTTTCCTAAAGGGAGGTTTGTCCACCGCCGAAAGACACATGTCTGACTCGAGGTAACTTCTCGCAGATCCCCCCAGCGGATCCGGGCCACTTGCGAGCAGTCACTTTCTGCGAGCAGTGGAGCGCGCTCGTCATAATATGATCCAGAAGCCTGGATTTCCCAAGCAGCTGGAAGGACGGAGCGCGGCACGTTTTCAAAACGATGATGCCGCCTTGGCGCCGTGCTACTTCGTGTCCAAAAACGGTCCGCATCCATCCGGGTGGAGGGCGGTAAGTTCTTTTGAACAGGGCCCTCGCCTGAGCGATGCGCACAGTCGTCGCAACCGCTTCCAATGTTTACCCAGGTGAGGTGGCTCCTTTTCACGGTGCCGCTCCCGCCCCAGCGCCGCGCACACTCGTCCTAAAAGTTTGCAGCGGATGCAAGAGTAGACGATGTCTTGTTTCAAATTGGGGTTTTCATCTGGGGTTCCTTCGAGGGTGGTGTCTTTTCAAAATGGGGCCGTCGCTTGAGATTTCTTCAACATTGAACAGGCGGATGTGTAAACTAGCTGTGCAAAAAAACACGGGTTGGCGCGGTTTCTTTCCAAAATAGGTCTCTCATTGGATGCAGCAGACCGTAGAGCCTCGTAGACAGGCAGCTTTTGCCTAAAACAGGGCCCCCGCCTGAACAGCAGACCCATAGGGTGCTCGAGTTCAAGGAGCGTTTCTCGTGATGAAATAGGACGGCTGCTGGGGTTCGTGAGGAGGAGACTTGAGACGGGAGGGTGTGATGCAGCATGGTTGAGGCATCCTGGGTTGTTTTTGGCCCTTCTCCTCTTCCTCCTCCTCCCCCACATTCTTTGCAATTATTGTTCCGTATAGGTATTGTAAATAGCCTCTCCCTGTCGCGCCCCCAAGCGTCCCGGTAGGGTGGCCTGAACGTTTCGCTTGAGATTTCTCAGCATGGGTGAGCTTGAAGCTCGAAATTCGCAGCTGATTCACTGTTGGAGGGGATGTCTTTTTGTTTAATGAGGTTCCCGCTTGGGCGCCGCGCACAGTTGCCCTAAAGACTTTCAACAGTTAGAGGGATGGACGGATGATCGTTTTCAGAATGCGGTTATCACTTTAGCGCCGCGCACAAGATTGTTAAAGATTCTGCAACGCCAACACGGGTTGACGGACGGTTTAAAATTACGCGTTTGTGGCAGGAGGCTTTGGAAAGCTTGGAACATGGACCAGATGGGAGACGAAGACACATCGAGCGACCACATGATGTAATACCGAAGCACAGTAGACAAGCGCGGTGCGTATTCATAGTTGTGTGTTCTTGTATGGTGTCTCATTATGTATGGGGACAAGTTATCGCAAAGTCCGACTATGGTATAGTCAGACTTTGCGATCACGAAGATGGCATCGGACGGTATAGTTGAGCACGAGGATGGTCGACTATAGTATACGGCTCGACAGGAGGAGGAGCGGGGAAGAGGAGGAACAAGAGGAGTAGGCGGAGGTACTTGTGAGCTTGATGGCACCGTGGGGTGCTTGCGATGAAAAGGAAGAGGACGAGGCGCAGGCGAACGTGTGAGGAGGATTACAAGTGAGACCACAGAAGGCCACGGGAGGCCACGGGAGACCACGGGAGACCGAGGCGCCCGACCGATTCCAGGTCCGGCGATCCCAGCATTCGGCTTCTTAGAAGAAGTAAGCCCCAGGTACCCTTACGGACACGTCTTTAGCGCCGCGCACGTTCGCCTCAAAGGCCTACAGCACCTACAAGCATGGCGGGTGGCGCCTTTTCAACATGCGGCTCTCGCCTCAGCGCCGCGCACGTGCGCCTGAAAGTTTTCGAACAGCAGCAGTGATGGAGGCGGTTTCTGGTGAAACCTGGCTCCCGCTCGGTGGTGACGCGCATATTCGTTTTACACGCCTGCAACATCGCCAATTGTGGAGGGTGGCTCTGTTTCAAAATATGATGTTCGCTCGAGGTCCCTGTGAGTTCCACGACCGGAATTGACCAGCTTAACACCTTGCGGACGGAGCATGTCTTAGGTTTCATCCAATTTAGCCAACAGAAGTTCGAATTTGCGCATTGGTTCCACGTATCGGGGCCGCCCTTGTTCAAAACGGGGCCCCTGTTGGACACATCGTAAGCGATTGTAGGACCCTCGATTTTGGCACTCCTTATGCCTCGCTACTAGGGTGCCAGACACTTCCTTTTTACAACGGGGCTCTCGCCAGAACGGCAGGTGAATGGGGTGCTCGTTTTTCAAGGGGGCGCTTCCTGCTGTGAAGAAATATATCCTGTGGCGACGAACGAGGAGGTGACGTGGCACGGGAGGGTTTATTGCAGTACCGTTGGTGCATCTCGGGTTTACGCGGGTCCTCCTAATCTGTCTTGCTCACTCCTCCTCCAGCTACCCTTTCGCATCCTCCCTTTCATCATCGGCCTCCTTCTTGTCATCGTCCCCACGGCACGCAGAACTTATCGCGGTCACCCTCATCATCATGATCGGCGGTACCCTTTATGGCGAGTTTCGCCATAGCGTGAGCCATGGTTGTTTCGATTGCCCCAGCGCGGGCGTGTTGAAACTCGCAGGTGCCAAGAGCGGAGGATGTGGGGTGGCCTTGGGGTGAGCGCGATGGCGTTCTCGTTGTACCAAGACTCGTCTAGGTCCGTCATTTTGTATCTCTCGCTCTCGTTCTCTCTTTCTCTCTGTCTCTCTCTCTCTCTCTCTCTCTCTCTCTCTCTCTCTCTCTCTCTCTCTATATATACATATGTATATATGTATATCGCTCTCCCTGGGTTTCTAGTTCTCTCTCTCTCTCTCTCTCTCTCTTTCTCCCGCTATCGCTCTCTTTCTGTCTCTGTCCAGCTGCCTGCGTCAAGTCCCGTCACCGTGCCAGCCCAGCATTCTGGGTGGCGATTGTTCGAGAGGGGGCACGGAAGGCCGTCAAGTGTGACATTTCGTACCCCCAGTTTTGGGAAAGCCGAGCGACGACCATGACGTTGATGATGATGATATGATGATGATGATGATGATATTGATGATGTTGATGATGATGATGATGATGGCGGTGGTGGTGATGGTGGTGGTGTTGGTGGTGATGATGATGACGATGATGGCGGTGGTAAGAATACTGGTGATGGTGATGGTGATGATTATGATGATGGTGGCGATGCTGATGGTGATGAAGAGTATGTTTAAGATGATGATAATGATGATGGTGATGATGAGGAGGAGTAGGAGTATGATGATGATGAGAATGATGAACATGATGGTGGCAAGCATGATGATTACGATGGCGATGGTGCTGGTACTTGGTGATGGTTACGATGATGATGATGCTGATGCTGATGCTGATGAGGAACTTGATGATGATGGCGATGTTGATGACGATGATGGTGATGGTCGTGATGGTGGTGGTCGTGGTGGTGATGAGGATAGTGAGGATGGTGACGGTGGTGTTAGAGGTGTCGATGATGATGATGATGATGATGATGATGATGATGATGATGACGAGCATGATAATGATGATGTTCCCGATGATGATGAGTATGACGGCGACGATGGTGATGTTGGTGGTGATGCGGATGCCAATGACTATGATGGTGAGGGCGATGATGATGATGATGATGATGATGATGCTGAAGTCGCTGATGATGATGCTGATAATGGTGATGGCGATGATTGTAAGAATGATGGTGCTGGTGATGGTGATGATGATGATGATGATGATCATCATCATCATCATCATCATCATCATCATCATCATGGTGATGATGAGGAGGAGTATAGTGATGATGATGGTGGTGATGATGATGACGATGATGATGATGGCGGGGATGGTGATGTTGATGATGATGGTGATGATGATGAGTACGATGATGATGGTGGTGGTGATGATGTCGATGATAATGATGATGATGTTGATGACGACGACGATGATGATTTTGACGACGACGACGACGATGATGATGATGATATGATGATGATGATGATGATGATGATGATGATGATGATGATGATGATGATGATGATGATGGAACTCTTTTTGGCCGTCTTGGGGCCTCCTGTGAGGCAGGTCTCGGGGTTCCCTTGGCCAGGCCCTCTCTGGCTGTCTTGGGGCCCCCTTACGCCGGCTTGGGGCTCTCTTGGACTGTCTGAGGGCCCTCTTTGCCATACGGTGGGTGTTTGGGGGTCGTCGTGGGCCGTCTTGGCGCCGTCTTGGGCCAGCGAAGGGCCTTAAAAAGGCCGTCTTGGGTCCCATGGAAGGCCCTCATGGGCCGTCTTGGGGCCGTCTTAGATGCCTCTTGGGCCATCGTGGAGTCCTGTTGTGCCGTCTTGAGTTGACGGCAGCCCGAAAAGGCGAGAATGCGATAATCGTTCAAAAATCCAAAGGGGGATCAATGCGTTTGGTTTCTTCTGACCCTGTTGGAGGGCCGTGTTGAATCAAGTTTCGGCCACTGTAAGGCCATCTTGGGCCGTATTGAATCCATTTTCGGCCGCCTTGGGGCTTAGGCCGTCTTCGAGGCATCTTGGGCCATCTTGGTGTCATTGGTTTGCCTGCACGGACCGCCTTGTAAGCTCGGGACGCATATCCATCATTCTCAACAAGGGATCGTGGCTTGGGAGGCCCTGGAGCGCTTGGGAGCAACGGCTGGGAATGCAGGAAGTGCACGATTCTCGAGCGGGTGCGCGTAAGATGAGGGGTTTAGGACTTAGCAGCCATTTGGGAAGCGCACAAGCCTCGAGCGGGCGCGCATGGAATGAGGGTTCATGCATTAGCTGCCATGCGGGAAGTGCACCATACTCGAGCGGGCACGCGTGGAAGAGGGGTTCATGCATTAGCTGCCATGCGGAAAGTGCACCATCCTGGAGCGGGCACGGGGGAAGTAGCCTCGGAAAGGAGGGGCGATGCACGCGAGAGTCTACTGGCAGAGGGGGGGCGGCCCCTTCCTAGAACTCAAAAAAAATCCTGCCGGACAGACCTTGGCGATCTTCCCACGCCTCAGCGTGCCACGGGGCACAGTGGCGCATCTCTTTCGCTTCTCGATACCAGCGGGATCGGGACTCGCAGCAAACGCGCGTCATCGCCAATGACTCGCGCAGTCTCGGCAGTCTCTCTCTTTCTCTTTCTCTCGCTTCTCGATGCCAGCGGGATCGGGACGCCGCCTGGCTGCGGCGCAGGTGGTGCGCTGTTCTTCTTCTTCCTCGGCGGCCAGGGCGGCCTCATCCTGCTCGCCACTGCTGGACAGCCGGTCCTTACCAGCCTGGAACCTATCCCTATCCCTATGTTGGGCATCGCCTCATCACGATGGCGATCTTAGCGATTCCCTCAGTTTCTGAGGGTGCATCCCTAAGATTTTCATCGCCTTTGGGCGTGTCAATCTTAGGGATCGGGATAAGTTCGAGGCTGGTTAGGTCCTGACCTCCGCGCACTCCTCCACGGCCGTGATCGGCCTCGCGCTCATGGGCGCGCAGGCGGCCCTGGGCCTGACCATGGGTGACTCCGAATTCAAGCGCACCGCGCATGCCTTCTTCGGCTCCGGCGTGATGGTGCTCCTCCTCGTGCACATGTACTTCGGCCTGAACCTGGGCTCGTCCTTCTGAGGGGGCGGGCGCAGCTACGAAGTCCCCGCAGGGCCGAGCTCGCCGAGCCTGCAGCACGAATTGTACGCCCGTCGGGTAGCACTGCTGCGGGTGTGTATGTGCAAGGTTTTGAGGCTTCGACGCCACCGAGCAGGAGGAGGAGGAGGAGGAGGCGGGGGAGGAATGGAGACCGGAACGAAGGGAGGTAGAATCGACTGCACATAAGAGTCACCCTTCGCCGGAGTGACCTTCGGGTGCGGGCTCATCGGGGTCCCCCCGATCGCTGAGCGCGATGCGATAGCGGCCGATTGCGCGCTCGGATTTGGCCACCTTGCGCGCCCTTAGTCCGCGCACCAACGGTCACTATTGCCTAGGGTCGCTCTTGCGTGTAGCCGAGAGAAGGGAGGCGGGGAAGAGGAGGAGGAAGAGGAGGAGGAGGAGGAGGAGCAGGAGCAGGGGAGGCAACGTCAGGAGACCTTCATGCCACCATCAACAGGATCAATAGGAAGAGCAGGAGGACGACCCCCCCATCCTCCTCCTTTTCGTCCCCTTGTACTAAGGAGACGGCGGGCGAGGGCTGGCTGAAGGGAATCGGAGGGGAGGATAGCCAGAGGAGGAGGGTGGGACAGGAGGGGAAGGGAGAGGTAGATTCTCACCCTCAGGAGCCTCGCTCACTTGCCGTGGGAGTCCCAGACATGAGCACCACCATCGCTATCGGAACCGCTCCGCTGGGAAAAACGATCATCGACTCAATCTTGGTGTTGGCGGTAATCCTGACCACCGAAGAGGCTTGAAGATTGCCACCAGCACCGATGTCGGAGGTCATCTCGTTTGGGAGGGGGCGGCCGCCAGCGTTGGCCTTAGTATCAGCCTTACACCAGGAAGCTGGCGACACGCCTGACGCAGCCGGCCCAGGCGAGAGCTGGAAGCACACGTGGCCGCACGTCCTCCCAGCGTGTACCCAGCGCCTGGCCTTTGCAGGTCCCGCACGTGAATCCAGCCCTGTGCGTGTTCCATCTCCCTGGCAGAGGAGGAGGAGGAGGAGGAGGAGGAGGAGGAGGAGGCCCCCACGGGCCTCCAGGGGGTGGGGGGCCCGAGCCTGCTGGAGGCGCAAAAGAGCCAGTGACGCCGAGCGGCCTCGATCCTCGAGCCCTCCCAGGAAGAGAGCACGGCTTCCAATTCTTCAGGCCTTTTGCCTGGCGCCCGCGGCGGCGGCCCTCGGAGCCCTGGCCTTGCCGGGGGGTCCCGTCCCGCCCTCGCTGGCCGATTTTCTCGGGCGACGCGGTGCCCCACCCGATGCACCGCGCCGCCGGCGCCGTCGGCCAGGCCAGCGCCGCGGCGCCCGGGCGACGAGCAGCCGACAGACACCACCTCGGCCTTGCCATGAGGAAAAGGCTCCTGAGGTCTCGTGCCGTGTTCGGCGGCGGAGGGGGAGGGTCTTCTTTGCCCCTGCTCCCTGCTTCGTCCTTCTCTCCCGCCTCATCATTTTCCTTCCTCCTCCTCATCCTCTGTAAGTGAAAGCGACGGGGGGGGGAAGGGGAGGAGGAGGAGGAGGAGGAGGAGGAGAAGGAGGAGGAGGAGGAGAAGGAGCAGAAGAAGAAGAAGGAAGAGGAGGAGGAGGAGGAGGAGGAGAAGGAGGAGGGAGGGGGGGGGGGAGGAGGGAGGTGTAGAGGTGTGCGCCGCTTCTGTGCACCGCTGGGGTCGCAGTCTGGAGCCAGGACGGCCTCGGAGGGCAGGCAGCGGCGCGCGGGGCACATCGGCGAGACCGAGCCTTCACGCAGCACAGCGTCTGTCTCGCCAGGCGGCCTCGCGCCTCGCAGGCTGCTCCGTGCACCAGGTTCGTCGGGCCGCCCTCACTCGCCGCAGGCCGTGCTTCCTTCGTCGAGGGGCCAGGCGCAGGGCCTTCCTGGAGGACGTGTCCGTCCCTGTCTTCGTCGACTCCAAAAGGTGCGCGCGGCCAGGGACTTCGGATGACCGTGCCGCTCCGCCAGTGTTGGCCCACCACGCGTCGGCGAGGCACGCCATCCACGTCCTCGTTTCCAAGCGACGACGTTGCGAGCCTCTCAAAGCCTCCCGCCCTGCGGAGCGGAGCGACACGCTATCCGCTCGGGCGGTGTAGCTAGCGTGTCGCCGGGGCCACCGCCGCGACATGCTAAGCAAAGGTTCCCGACCATAGCCTCCATCGAAACAGTCCTCGACCCTCTCAACGAATAGCTTGAGAATGCTGCAGCGGAGCTCCTTATACACAGCTGGGTGTTCCTGCAGGCGGTCTTTGAGGACGCGAGCAGATCACCGATGATGGCCGCCTGCTTGGGCGAAAGGGCCAGGGAACTCTGGCAAGCGGTCTTGTGTTGGCATCGTGGTGGCGTACCAGTACGATCGATAAAATAGTTGATCGTCTCATTGGCCGTCCTGGGCACACCAGCGAACTCAGCAGGATTACCAAGCTCCGCGTAGTCGCCGAACTTGTTCAGGATTGGGTATGCGGCGTCAAGCAGGGCCGCTGAACTGTCTTCCTGGACACAGCGAGTGGTGCGAGTCAGTGTCACCATGATAATACCTTGCTGCTTCGGGCTCAGGAGTGGGCCAGCGGCGATCTTTCTCTTCGTCCCGACGGGGCTGCTGAGCAGATCGTTGCCAGAGTTGACGATGAGCGCAGTGAGAAACGTCCGAGAGTTGTTGACACGTCCCTCTGCCTCGAGATGGACCATGATTGTTGCTGGCTGTCGAGGCTCAGATCGTCGGAACTGCTTGCTCGAACCCAGAAGGCGACAAAAAGGTACAGAAGGATTGGAAGGAAAATAGCACAACCTTGACATTTGCAATGGAATTCAGCACTGGTCAGCACGCGAATTCATACAGGGCTGCACCAGAGCTGCTTAAGTAAGTATAAGCATGCGCACTGTTTAGATCCAGGCAGCCCCAGAGCCATGTCGACAACAAAAGTCGAATCCGAGGTTCAATCCTGTAGGAAACTACAGCGAGGCTACATGGCTCATGGTCCCCAGGACATGACAGCACTGAACTCAGGACAGGCCCCCATGACAGGACATGGTATGACCTAAGGGGCCCCACTGGGCCTGGGTGCGCGAAGGGAACTCTGGAATCCTCGAGACATTGAACTCCAACTCTGATGGGATCATGATTTTGTTTAGGTACCTGGACCTTACTACCTCCCGCCCCCTGCGCATTAGCACCTGAGTCCCAACGCATTCCCACAGTTTTCTCCTCGCATGCTCAGCCTTGGCACGGTCAAGATGTGGATCCCTTGGGGGGCCGATAATTGCGCGCGCGGATCACAGGACGCACTATGTCGTTGGGATCGGCCGATCCTTGGTGAGCGCGTCGGCCAGCTGGTGATCTGTCCGTTCGCATCGCAAGGTAGCGCGGCCCCAGCTGAGCGCCACTTCGATGGTCACTATGTCCACCGCCACGCGGTGGTTTTCCACGGCGGGTGGAGAAGACATTCCCTTGATATGGTCGCACATGTTCTCGCAGTCGGTCGTTGACGTGCTGGGGCGATGCAGGAACCAAGTACACCGTCGCTTGATGACAAAGTCGCGGCCAGAGGGCATGGGAGCCGTTCAAGATGACCGCTCCCGTCTGACAGGGGTCTGCGTCTCGCCAGCAAGTGCGCTGCCCACCACCCGATTGATCCGATCTGATCTCCATGATGCCGGACTTCAAGGGGCGACCTCCTGCTTCGCCAGGTTGGCGTCGGCGAAGGCTAGGGCAGGACTTGCTCGTGCAATTTTCTGCGCCGCTTTCAGGATGGCCACATCGGAGCGCACAGCGGCGCACAGCTCCACGGGCGGAATAGGTTTCACGACGAGGGCCATGTCAGCATGCTGACAGAGTCGTTGCGCGTTGTCGATGGTCGTCTGACCCTATCTTGCTGTATTTGAAATATGTGCACACACACCTATCCAATCTGGTCTGTCCGCGCAGCCAGTTGGTCTGTCCCAGCGAACGCCTCGGAGCAGCGATCTCGGCCTTGTTACCAAGCTCCTCGCCTCTGACTGACCTTCGGACGTCGACAGGCCTCAGCGCGACGCAGACGTTTTCGGAGCAGTAGTGCTGAGTGCAGCTGACAGCGCGCGCGCTAACCCTCTGCTCGACGATCATGTCACAGTGCTCGCCGCCACTTGAGATTCCATCTGCTGAGAGAAAACTTGACACGGACTTGGCTGAGGGGTTCCTGGGAGATTGGCCAATCTCGCCATCTCCACCAATCAGCACGTCGTCCACGTGGATGGCGAGCACGCCGCACGCTCGCCCACCATCTCGCGGGTTGAGAGACTGCCCCAAGGGGCGCTGCTTGTAGCCAGTTACTCATCTCGACGGAACACCGGCTGGGCGCGACGCCCAGGCCGCACAGCAGCAGGATCAGCTCCACTATCTGATCAGCATGAAGGCCAGGCAGACTGATTGTTGGTTCCTTAGCACATAGTGGTCCGTCTGGGCACGACAGCCTCTCAGCCCCCACGCGCACTCCTCCGATGCCACCAACCTGCATACGCCAGCGGCGCGAGGCCATGAGCGGCAGGGCGAGCGCGCGCGCGCTCTGAAAATCCTCGGGCAACCCAGCAAACCTTGACCAGCTCTCCGTTGTCGTCGACCTTGCGGTTAAGGAGTCGTGTGTCGACGAGCCTCTGGCCACTCCTGCGTCGAACCTCGTTCGGCCCCTGCGCAGCGGGCGCTCGCGCGGCATGCTCGTCGAGGACGACGGTCTGCCGTTCCACCAGCCTGGCCCTGCTGGTCTCCTCGATAAAGTCGGGCCTGGTCTTTTCCGTGGTCTCCTTCCTGCCGTTGGCCAGAGGTAGACGTCGCACTTCGGTGCTGTCGAGCCCGCGGCCACGCTGTCCGCGATGAAAACGGCCACGATGCATTCGACACCGGCGTCTTGGATGTCTTCGTCGGCGTCGGCGTCGGCCTCGAGCGCGCAGACAGCTGACTCTACGCGCCAAGAGCAGGTCCTTCGACCATCCACCGTTCCGCGGGGGTCGCCCTTCCAGATGCCA